GGATGTTCACTGGGGGTACGATTTGGAATATGACCCATGGCCACATGGCAACCAACAGCCGGGGGGAGACATGGGCGGGAATCAAGACATAACCCCTTTCCCACGAAAAGGCTCCAAGCAGATGTCCGGACATAAACTTCTGAGGCCGCTTCGGCCTCGACCCTCTGTGTCTGGCAATAAAAAGGGAACACATGATGCTACGACGGACTACTTGCTGGATGTTCCGATCCCCTCAAACCAACTTACACCAATGGACATGGAACCTGACAGGGGGGTTCCTTTTTAAGGGACCGGGTCCCGGGCGCTGACCCCTCAAACATTGCGCTTGTGTGAACCTGCTGCGTGTTTGACTTACTGGATTCTCAGTAGGAAATGACCCACAGGGTTTCGGGTAAAGTTGAAACCACAAGTTGGATGGTTTTTCTCGGGGCATTCCATTTCTCATTCCCTGCCTATCGAACAGCAAGTTCACTGCAGTTTTGTCTTGGCGCATCGTTGTCACGGCTTGGCCAGCCTCGCTGGCGATGCTTTGGACGGGGCATAGCAAGCCAACCTACCTTCAGAACAACTGCCTTGAAGGCGGGCAAGTTCAGGGTTTTTTGAACTTTTATCCTTTGCGTTTCTCTCCGCTTGCATTTAAGCGCGAGAGGGCATTCAATCAAAGGCTGATTGTACAAGTGCATGTCTGAACCCGTGGTCATGTTCCTTAATTAAGCCATAACTTACGGTAAACTGAGCCATAAGCTAGGGGTTCATGCCAGGGGTTCATATATATATATAATGTAAACGTTTTCATTCAGCCTTTCATTCAAGTTATCGTCGAATTGACCTTCGAGCGTCCAAAACATCGGGCTTTCCAAAAGCCTCGTTGGAATGCAACGTCATTCAAGCCCGCTTGAAACACAATATGGCAGTGCCTTCTTTTGAGGGTTCCCCTTGTTTGGTTGAAAAGGCGCAAAACACGCGCATGCCTTTTGTTTCCCCTCAGGTTTGTTGCCAGGCAGTTTCGAGATGCCTGGAAACGATCTGGGGACGTTTGACACCATGGAACTTCGGGTTTCGTAGGGATGACCTCGCAGACCGGGGTGTCTAACCTTATAATGCAGGTTTCTGTTGGTTGATTTCAGGTTGGTGAATCAGAAAAAAACACCGAGAGAACAGCATGAATGACCTCCACGGATAGCTTCAATGACATGAGCACGGACAACATTACTAGCATGTTTGTTTTGATGGTCATCTATCGGCTTGTTGGTGTATCGTCGGTCATTCCCATCAACCCGGCCGTGTCGCGTCGCTGAAGTGGCCAGAGGAGCTCGGGGGTCATGTGGACTACTATGGCAAGCCTGGCAGCAAGCACTTTGAGGCTGCCCTAAGGCTGGTCACGTGTCGCAGAGGGTCGTTGCCCTCCCCCAATTGACATGGAACCTGACAGGGACCCGGTCCCTGTAAAAGGAACATGGACATCCATGTCAGATTCCATGTGAAAAAGGTGGGAGGGTAAATTTGTTTGGGGGAACCCGGGGTTTAGGCTGCCCTGGGTTGACGTGTTTGCCAAAAACGATCCCAGACGTTGAGCTGAGAGGGGTGTGGGAAGGTCTGATTTATACTTGCGCGGCTGAGCTTTAGCTGGGAGTTTCTCCAAACGAGATTCACATTGTCCGATTTCGGAAGCCACTCGATAAACGATAAACCCAGTTTGGGAAGCTCACTCGCCCAAATCCGACCTTTTGACCTTTTGGTTGTCCCATCTTGATCCATTTTTGGCGAATGTCAAAAAAGGTAAACCTTGTATTTCCAAGTCCGAACATTCAGGCCATTGAGTGGGGATTTTCCTGAAAGCAGTTTGAATTTTAAGTTGAGGGATTCGCCCACCTTGAGAACGTAATTCCCATCTTGGTCCATTTGATTTTCCCATCTTGGTCCATGTTTGGCAAAGGTCCCAAGAATCTGAGGGGCTTTTGTGGGAAATGGCCAGGCAAAACGGAGCCCTTGAACTGAGCGGCTTGGGCGGCTCGGCTTGCTCGCAGGCTCCTGGCGATGGAAAGGCACTGCGTGTGCCACGTGGGGGACTCCATGTAGCTTGGCAAGAGCCAGCCGGTTCCCTAGGCGTTTTTTTGTTTTTTGTGTGGCTGGTTTAGTCGGTTTAGTGGTGGGATTTGTCCACTACTAAAAGTTCACTGGCTTCTAGCCAGGGTTTGGTGTTTGGGTTTCACCTACTAGAAGTTGAAGTTTTTGTTTTTGTTTGTTGGTCCCATCTGGGCTGGGGCTGGTATTGTAAAGGGAACCTAGTGGGTGGTGTCATTTGATTGACCTAAATGGGTTCAACGGATTCGCCGCGGCTTCGGATCCCACTTTTCGATCCGATCCGAAGAACGGGCTCGGAAACTTCCATCTGCTTCAGAATGCTTGTTTCCCCCTGTTGGTTTTAAACGGAATCGATTTCACTACTGGACATATTTTCTCGTATTTTTTCCAGGGGGCGAAAACGCAAATGGCCGGAAACGGAAGCGGAACCGCCGAGGTACCACGACGTCCTGGGCGCCGAAGCCGCCCAGATCAACGTGGCCTTCGTGGCCGGCGGCATCGAGCACAAGGAGACGGACGGGGGGTGCACACGACGCCGGCCTCGGGGGTCGCAGCCCACGTGTGCACACGACAAGGGAAAACTCACCATGGGGTCCACGTTCCAGCACCAGGTAGCTGAGTCAAGCAGATGGAAATCGGGCTGCGCAAGGTCCTGGAGCACCTTAAGGACTTAGATGAAATCCTAGCACTCGACTTGCTGGTGCGATACGTAGAAATGAGAAATGGAATAAACCCAGGCTTTGGTGCCCTTAAAGTTGAAACCACCAGTTGGATGGTCTAGGGTCATTCCCTCATTTTCTTGGTTGAGCACCAGAACGAACTGCGGCCGTGGTACGGAGCTGGGACCCCCGGACCCGGTTTCCAAATTCCTCAGAGCCTTCCGGAGCTTGCAGAAGGGAGCAGAATTTCCTTTACAGCCACGTTTGTCACGGGGTTTTTCATCGGCCCGGCTGTGAGAATTGTTTATTATTATTATTATTATTATTATTATTATTATTATTATTATTATTATTTTTTGAAAATGCTAAAGCGAAGAGGGGGAAGCCCAGGGTGTCCAACGTGGAACCTGCCGTTATGTGCCGGTGATCTCAAATCACAGGAGATGGACGCTGGTCTAAGTTGCACGTCCCCAAAATCTTTTCTCACCCCTTGTTTGGGGGAGGGTTCCCCTAATAATTTAAACAAACAAGAAAACAGTCGGTACCCTTTTTCTAAGCTCTTTACTGGAGGATCCAGCCACAAAAAAAAGTCTAAAAAAGCTGGAGCCTGGCCCCTAACCCACCCCAAGCCTAGTGGGTCCCCCGCGGTCACCCCCATTTTCCCTGCAACTATCACACTTCTTGCCGGGTGTCCAAGTTTGGCCCAGTGATAATTTTTCTTTTGGACCCCCAAAATGGTGGGTGTCCATTTGGTTTTCCTTTAAGCCAGCCCCAACAAGGGTAGCCTCGCAAAAAGACAATTGTCGCAGGAGCTGCGCATTCGGCCCGGCGAGGCCCCGCCCGCCGTGAGGTTCCAGGAGCTCTTGGCGCGGTATGGGGCGAAGCCCAGCCACGTGCTGCGCCTGGCGCAGTGGAGCTGAGAGAAACGGCCGCTGCTGGTCGCTCCCGTTGCCCTCCTCTCCCTCAGTCACTCCCTGAGTTGGACTTGGGACTTTTTGAAGGAAAGACTACTTTGGACTTTGAACTTTTCTTTTTCTTTTTTTGGACTTTCTGGTCTTTTAGTTGGTCTTAGTGGTAAACTCGCTTGCGCAAAGCGATTCGAGCCCCAAAAGGTGATGATTCTTTATTTGGGGGTCCCTAAGGGGCAACTGAGAATGAGTCGGTTCTTCATTTTCCCATATCACTACTGGACGTATTTGCACATTTTTTCAGGGGGCGAAGAAGCTGTGTGAAGTTTCGGGACACCCGCAGAAGAGGACCTTCGCATGCTTCCCTCTCTCATCGGGCCATAGCCTGGTTGGAAGAGGTTGCGCAGTATCCAATCCGCGCTGGAAGTACAAAAAAGGCATGCACTTGCCTTGGTGGCTCTCAGCCATTCCCTTAGCTGTTTAGGTTTTTAGTTGGTTTCGTGGTTGTCTTCATTTCGCCTGCTAAAAGTTGAACTTCTAGCAGGGGATCTTAAGAAATTTAAATGTATTTTCCCCCGTTGGGTTTACAGGGGTTCTATCATTGCTGCACATGTCTTTATATTTTTGTTCAGGGCACTCAACTGGGTCCCCCCAGTAGTGCCCTTTTACTTATTTTGGTTAAAAGGTTCCCCTACTAAAAGAGACTCCAGAAGAAGGGGCACCCTTATTCTAACCTCTCTACTGGAGGACCTAGTCAAACAAATGCAGGGAAGGCATGCCTGGGCTCGGCCAAGACGCCCATGAGAGCGCACAAACCTTCTCAGGGCTCCTTAAAAGATACATTTTGCAACCAATTGAAACATGTTTTTTCCACCAAACAACAGGGAAACCACCATTTGCAAGGCAATGTTCAGGTGTATAATGTAAGGATCCCTGTTTCTGTTGGCAGATTAATATGAAGGGCTGAGTAAATAATACGCTACCACTATGGTCATGACACAATGTGGTATCCAAGTACTTCACAACCCCATTCTAATCATTTAGGCTCTAGTTTCTTTGGGAGTCCTACTAAGTGCCAAGTTAACCTTTTACAGTCATTGCAAAGCGTGGTATTTAAGTACTTCACAACCCCATTCTAATCATTTCGGCCCGAATTTCTTTTGGGGGTCCTAAGTGCCAAGTCAACCTTTCCCAGTCATGGCAAAATGTGGTGTTTCAGTACCCCACACCCCAATCCAATGATTCCGCCCTGTTTCTGTGGGGGGGGGGGGGGGCCTGGCTTCATGGGGGTTGTAAGTGCCAAGTCCGGCCAGCTTTCGGCCCAAAGGCTCGGCGCCTCGTTGCTGAGGTGGACGCAGCTGCAGTGGATTTTGGAGACCCTTCGGTGGAGAGACGTTTGCAGGGATCTGAGAGGACCAAAAGTAACAACTCGGAGCCCAGGATCTTGTTTCAGGTTGTTTGGCAGTTCTAGTCACCATGCGTAAAAAAACAAAAGATGCAGCTAGGGACCCGAGTGGAAGACTGTCGGTGCCCCTGTCTTGCCGCAACTTCCAATTTCAGCGTGTTTTTTCTTTTAAAAGAAAAAGAGATTAACGGGTGAAAGCCACCCGCCCAAAAATTATCCTAAATCCGAACACCCACTAGCTCGCAGACCCCTGGGGCCCCTTCAAGGAGCTTCAAGGTGGGGTGGTTACATGCTAGGTCCCCCAGCTAGGTGCCCTTTTACCGTTTCTTTTTCAGAAGGGGTGCTCCCTGCGATGTAGCAGTGTTTTGTAGCATTTTTGAAGTTAAAATCACATCCCCACCAACACCCGGTCTCCAAAAGTTTTTTGGGGGAGTTCCCCTACTAAAATAGACTACAGAAGAAAGTTGGTACCCTTATTCTAACCTCTCTACTGGAGGACCTAGGTGGATACATGCTTAAAACGATCTCAAATCAGCAGTTGCAGAGAGCACAGGTAGGTCACACCGAGTTTTTGAGGGTGAGGTTTACAAAGTAGGTTGGGACCATTGTTTTTCTATGCATTGTTTCCCCCATTTGAAAGCAAATGGATATTTTCTGGCAAATACCGTGCCCATGAGACTTCGAATGAAGTCCTTTAAACACAGATCAGCGTGCCACCAGCTGCTCTCTTCCCTGGGCGGGGGGATTGGCCTAGGCGGAAATTTCATCAAATGATCTCCGGAGAGTATGGGGAACGTACGGCTAGCACGTCTAGTGTGACGTGTGCGTTTGGGTGACAAGTATGAGTATGAGTACGCGTACTAGCCCCTCCAGGGTTGTTCCCTAACAGCTTCTTGGAGAATCTGATGAACCAATCTAGCTGTCTGATTGTCAGGCTTCCCGTTGTGTCCATCAGTTCTGGTTTCTGTCTCAAGCCCGGGAACAACCCAGCCCTCCAAAAAGATTGCATGTGTATCTGCCTTGGCTGTTTTGTTTTCCCCTCTCGGGAAGCCAGAAGGAAAAACGTGTCCCCCATTTTGACACCGGAAAGTTGCACTATTGGGGAATCCCTAAAAGGGGTTCGGCTCCCTGAATGCCAGATAAACCCAAACTAGGTCCCCCAGTGCCCTGTCTCACCCCTTTTTTGGGGGAGGGTTCCTCTACTAAAATCGACAAAGCAAAAGGGTGGGTAGCCTTATATGTTCAATCCTCTCTACTGCAGGACCTACTTACTTGCCCAAAGCAAATCGACCTTTTGACCTTTTAGTTTTCCGGGTTTGGTCTAGTTTTAGTCATTCCAAAAGGTTAACCACTTTTAAATACAGTTCCCCTAGTTTGACCTTTTGACCTTTTAGTTTTAGTTCTTTTCAGGTCCGAACTGGGCTACTGGAGGACCCTTTTATGTTCAGGTCCTTTGGGCAGCTGAGCAAGGGTTAACCGGCCAAAATTTGATGTCCGGATCCTGGCAGCTGATATGGACGAAGGGGCACTCCGGGTGAAAGCCAAGTCCCTGCGGCTTACAAAGGCCTAGCTGAACATCAACTGGAGCTTCTGAACTAGGGATCAACTCGATCAACTCGAGCTAGGAGCCCTTGATGGGCCGCGATCCCCGCTGCGCGGTGCTGCACCTGGGCAACGGCAACTCGCCTCTGCCTGAGGAGCCAAGCGTTCACAAGCGTTCGTCATGGGTCAAACTGGGTACCCCAAAAAATGGAGGAGCAAAAAGCGCGCCTTGAAAAGGGCATGTCTTTCGTTGTAAGGTCAACTGGGTACCCAACAAAATGGAGGAGCCAAAAGCGCGCCCTTGGACAGCATGTCTTTCGTTATGTGTCAAAAGTGAGGGAGTCTGGGAGGGGTGTGGACCTGTGGACCCCCCAAGATTGGAGGTTTGGTTTTCCTCATGGGGCTACCGCCCTCAACAAAGCAGACAAGCACAGTTGGCATCTGCTATAAAATGGTTGCTCCAAAAATGCGCACATGACCATACATATCCATACCAGCTTTCAAGCAAAGTCTTTTCACCGTGACAAATTTGAGGACAGCCCAATTCGGATGCGTATCAAAAGAGGTGACTCAAGTTGACTAAAGTGCTGTTGTCCTTTAGGTGAACATGGCGCCCTCAACAGGGCTCCTTAAAAGATACATGTTGCAACCATTTGAAACATGGTTTTTGAACACCAAATAAGGGGACACCACCATTTACAAGGCAATGTTCAGGTGTATAATGTAAGGATCCCTGCTCAAAATGCCACATTCGGCATGTTGCAAATGCCTGTGGTGGAGAGTGATGTATGAAGGGGTGTGCTCTCAATAATAAAGGGAACCTCATACATGTTCCCATGGAAAGAATGTTTGGAAGGAGGGCCCTGACGTTTTCTCGGGGATGGGTCGAGAAACGCCTGGATTGAACTTGTAGGCGCACGATCGCTCGGGCGTTTCCTTGCTATGGTGTAAGTTGGGGCAAATATGTGCGTCTTCGCAAAGCAGGGCAGATACCTCAGGTAGCAAATTAAGGCAGAAGGGTTGCAGAGCACGAACACTCATGGGGGCTGGGGGGGAGGGAGGGGGGGGGGAGGGAGCCCAAATAAGCCCTAAATAAGGCCTTAAGGGCTTATTTGGGCTCCCTCCCCCTCCCCCTCCCTCCCCCCCAGCCCCCATGAAACACCTTGTCCCTCCCAATACTAGCGGCAACCAAACCAAGATCAAGCCACTGGCGAAAGCCATCCCGGGGGAGATGCGTAGGCCTTCAATGTGGTGACTTCAGCAAGTGCAGACCAAGGAGGCGTAGAGGAAAGCAACCATGACTGGAGAAGGGAGCAGCTGAGGACGAGAAATGAATCAAGGCAAGAATCGACCAAGGATAAGATGAACGCAACAGAAATGGAAAAATAATTGGAACAAAAGAAAGAAAAGAGCAAGGAAAGATGCAGAAGAATGCGGGAGAAGGAGGAGTGACAAGAACCAATGCGTGGCAGCAGCAGGCGTGTTTAGACACTTCAGCGCAAATAGTTTAGGGGGAGAGGGCAGGTAGGCGAGGTGAAATGTTCAACGCGGCCAGAAACCACAGAAATGTGAGGAAGAAAGCAACAAGCATTCTCTAAGCAACAGGGGGGGGGGTGTCTTTTTTTTTTTGACATTTTTGGACCCTGGGGGTGGCTTGAACGGGGAAGCCAAAGGAAAGTCCTTCAATTTCGCCGGTTTCGCTATGCATTGAACGTAGCTGACATCGTCAATGTTTGTCCCTTTCACTCGGCCAAAGTCGTAACGCTGGCAGGTTGGATCAGTTTGGCAAACCCGAGGGACGGCGCCTCATAAAATTGAATCTATGCAGTCTTGGCCATTTACTTGATCAGAGTTCGCTTAGAGAGTGTGTGAGTCTGTGAGGTGCGCTTTTCTCTTTGGTTCAAAGGGACGCCACATGCAAAACCTCCAGTTTGGGGGCCTCCCCGTTTTCACGCATTCCCATGTAGAGCGTTTGCCGGCTGAGTTTGTTGCCACTGCAGGAGATGTTTGACGCTGGCTACAAGGACCAGACCGCCGTTGATATATCCGAGGCACTCCGAACGTAAATCGAAGGCTGAATTGAACGAGCCCAAGGTGAAGCGTAGTCAAAGAGGCGTTGCTTGAGGTTTGTCTTGGGCAGATGTTGAACAGCTGCAGGCGGGTTTTGCCACATGCTGCCCCCACAGATTGCTCGGGTGCATGCTTTGATGTTTGTTTAGACTTGCCATTTTGACGTTCCTGGTTGCTCCAAAGGATACATTACCAAAAGAAGACACGCCCTTTTGCCAGACCCTGTTCTGATACGTCACTGCAATGAGAAGGCCAACCAGGAGTCAGGAGTACGCAACCCTCATCCAGCAGAACGAAACCCGAGCCACAATCAGACGGGGAGAAGGCAAAACCTGCCAGAAATCGATCGGACAGGCACCGCCATCAATAGGCGTGGATATCCACCCGCTTGATTTTCTGGGTACATACCCAAGATTCTAAGATGTTGATCATGGCCCATTGGGCTTCCGTTCAAATACTAATCTCATATCTATATCTATATCTGTATGTACATATGCAAGGGAACACTTTCCAATTGAGGCTGCTTCCTCCTCTCCAAAAGCGCTGCGTGTCATCGCCCACAGGCAGCAACTTTGCACATGGCAGCGCGTAATCGCTCGGGACCCCAGCATCACATTGACATAAGCAAACTGCTTCCTGGCATCCGCATGGCTGAGCATTCGCTTTAACGCGCGTTTCGAGAGAGACATCGTAAAGAATGGGAACGGTGTGTTTAATAGTGACAGGGCGGTCACGCCTCTGCTACTTCGTCTGAAAGCGGACAGCGTTTGTACGGATGCCTATGGGTTTTAGTTGGCATTTTCCTGCTGCGATACATGACTTTAGCCCACCATCTACCGGCTCCGCAATCCCTGAGGAAATAGACTACAGTAAAAAGTTGGTACCCTTATTTTCTCCTCTCTACTGGAGGACCTAGGCATTCGCTTCAAAGGTCCCTTTGCGCCCGCTCCGCTTTTTTTCTGAGGACAACGGGCATCCATCCGATGGATTACTGCAGACTGCCGGAACTTGATTCAGATTCCGAGCGACCACTACCCCTTGGTGGTGGCCCCTTGCCTCGCAATTGGTTTTCGAGTGCCGCACTCGATGCAAAGGTCTCACTGTGGACTTGCGAAATCCTCAATTCGGACCACCCAGAAAAAAAGCCCCGGGGTGATGTGCTTTCCCAGTAAATGCCAAAAAACGTTCTGGTTTGGGTGTTGGTTTCAAAGTGGTGCGAACGGACTTTGCAACCAGCCGCAGTATCATGCATCTTTTCCTGTGCCTCTGCGCCAGGGTTGTGGGATCGATCAAGGGGTTTATCCCCACTTCTGTGATAGGGAATCTCCCCCTTTATGTGGGGAGTTAGTCTTTGGGAAGCCCTTTTTCAGGGCTCCTTAAAAGATACATTTTGCCATTTGAAACATGTTCAATTTGAAACATGTTTTGTTCCACCAAAATCAAGGGAAGCCACCATTTACAAGGCAAAGTTCAGGTGTATAATGTAAGGATCCCTGTTTTTGGTGTATTACAGAAGTGGTCATTTCCCACAGCTCTGCTCTGCACCGTTCCGAGGACAAGAGCACATTGGACGCATTCTTTTGCCAGAGGCCGAGCTACTGGTCAGGCTTCACAAAAATGGGCCCGTTTCAAGGCGGAACAACAAAGCGCATCTTGATAACCTGTCATGTGGCCAGGGCAATGTTCAGGCGTGCCCAATACCGGGAAAAAAAACACAAAACACAACAGCGGCCCCTAAATTATACCACTTCACTTTGGAAACAAGCAACGTGTGGATGATGTCCAGTGCAAGAAGCCCTTTGCCCTAGCTGATGAGTTTCCCCAAACCCCTAAGCACTTCAAGGGGCAGTTACCATGGTTTCCAAAGTGGGTTATAGCCAGGCTTACTAGCCACTTACTAAGTGCCCTGCCCCTTAAAGTACCCACCCCCTGAAAAATGAAATTGGGGGAAGGGGGTGTTAATTCTGGACATCCATTTCTGGTTGCATTTTCCCTTTTATTGGGAAGATGATAGATAAATGGAATTGGGGGCCCACCCCCCTCCCCCCTACGGCAGGGGGGATGTTGGAGGTTCTCTCACATTTTAGGCGCTGGTCGTAGCCAAGGCAACGACCAGCACGCGCTTGCGATCATGGAGTTCCTTAAGGAGGCGAGTGCCGCGCGGCTTCTGAGGGAAGGAGTCCGCTGCTTGTGTTTCCGTCAAGTTTCTTTCCCTTCCTAGGTCCCCCAGTAGTGCCCTTTCTCACCCTTGTTGGGAGGGTTCCCCTGTTAAAATAGACGACAGAAAAAATGGGTACCCTTATTCTAACCTCTCTACTGGAGGACCTAGTTTGGATGTCTTCTCTTATCTTCTGGACACCCCCAAAATCAAGCTGGCGACAGGGCAGCCGAGAGGAGTTGCCAGAGAGGACGTTGAGAGAGAGGGGCCGGGTGTGCTTCGAGTTAATCTCGGCCGTGTCCTGTCGGATCAATGGAAAGTTGCTTGCGTCGAAAGCAATATGGCTGTGGGTCAAAACCAACGGTACCATTTTGGGGTAGGTGCACCACCAATTTTAAGTCTATTTTAGTGGGGATTGGGATGTTCACTGGGGGTACGGGCTTTTGACCCATGGCCATATTTATTCATGAGCATCTTTGTTGAAGGGGCCCTTGTCAAGGAGCGATGGAGCAGAGGGGGTAATTGGGACCTTCACTTGGGACTATCATTTACGCATTTGGCCCGCAGTGGTCCAAGGTCAAGGTGAATGTTTGGTTGGTCATTTTTCGCGCAACTGATCCCGTGGCACGAACCCACTTAGGCCGCTGTTGGAAACATCCACTTTAGGCGTTCCCATTGCTCCCCCCTTCTGGAGACAAACACGTTGCTTTTTGATTCAAAGGTTTGCCAGCCTGCTTAAGGATCGCGGGTCATGTATGGAGGGGTTCTCCCATGAAGGGAACCTCCCCCAGTTGCAGCGCCATCCATTTTCCGATGTTGTTCAGTGTGGGCTCCAAAACGAACAAAGAAGGCAAGCCCCAAGCCCCAAACATAAGATCCCTCTCTCCTACATGGCTCACCTGAGCAATTGGGCACCTGGTACGAGTTCCATTTGTTAGTACAGGAACGAAGGTATGAAAGTGGCGGTGGCTGCCCCCTCACCCCACGTTGAATCGGTTTGGGGGCCGCGGGGGAGGGTGAAAAGTTGCCGATCGCTGACCGCAGGCCTATCGCGTCACTGCAACGGGGGGCACCTTTGTCTCAGTGGGCCACCCAGATACCCAGGTTGAGGAGTCTCGCTGATCACTCGTCGGGGAGATCCCTTCCAAAATTTGCGCGTTTTGGACTTGAGTCCTTTTTTGGGTGTGGACCATATTAGTCTACCCCAGTAGTGCCCTTTCTCGCCCTTTTTTGGGGGAGAGTTCCCCTACTTAAGTAGACTGCAGAAAGAAGTTGGTACCCTCATTTTAACCTCTCTACTGGAGGACCTAGCGGTAAACAACAATTGCTGCTGATGCCTTTTTTTTGACGTCAGAGCCCACGCGTGTGTGGCGCCACGGGCGCCTGGAGCGCCGGCCTAAACCCTGACACTCAAGCCGAGCGGTGCAGAACCTGAAGGCAACAGGCACTGAGGGCGGCGCCACCTGAGACAAAACAGGGGGGCAAAGGGAAGATCCAAAACCAAAAACCAAAAAAACACATCCCAAAAAAACGCCCCAAAACAAGAATCGCAGCAGGGTAACCAACCAGCTGCGCGCAAGCCCATAAGCAACATAAACAAAAAGGGGGGGTTGCATCAGTGGAGCGATACATCATAGCAGTGGTGGCAGCCCTAATGCCAAAGTGCAGAAAACCGTCAGACTGCCAGCCAGGAGCCAGAAACTCTCTCCCCCAGCAAACATTGGAAAACACCGAGGCACTCACTAGGCTCAGGTGTGCTTGCAAGCTGCTGCCAGCCCAAGCATCGATAGTGCCAGTAAGTTTGTGCTCCCGCGCCCACAAGATCCACCAAGCATCTGCCCATCGTGCCCATCTGCACACTATCTTTGGAAGGATAGTCTCGCACGCACATGCTGCTGGGAAAACCCACGACAAAACCAACCCCAGCGCCAGCCCAAGTGCTGTCCAGGCCAGAGCCCTGCAAGCTCAGAAAGCTCCCGGCACCGCCTCTCGCATCACTGCAGTCTTTTGGCTACAGCAGCAGTCTTTCGGGCGGGGATGCTGTCCTCTGCAAGCTTAGTAGCAAGGAACTCCTCGAGGAGGGCCAGCGTCTTTTGCTGCAACTGTTCCTCGGCATCCTGCCAGGCGTGGACAGAGCGCATGTCCAAGAGCTGGACTGGCTCGCCCCGGTGGACGAATGTGATCTGCATGCCCTGGCACTGGTTCGCTGAAGTGGTCTTGGCAGGCGTGGAAGGGCCCATTGCAGCTTGCTCCGGAGTTTGCGGATCTCGCTCACAAGCTTGTCCTCAGTGCTCTGCGCATGTTCCTGCTTCTGCTTTCTTTGCTTCCGGGATTGCTTCCTGGCGCCGGAGGACGAAGTGGAAGAAGACGGAAAAGAAGAGGTGGAGGACCGCCTCTTCTTTTTCTTTGCCTTCTTCCTCTTGTCGGTGTAGTAGCGCGACTTTGCGCCAGGATCTTCCTTTTGCTGGTGGCGGGACCTGCCCCGTCTCCGTCTGTCTTTGTCATGGGAGTGGCCACGGCTTTTTCCTTGCTTGTCATCACCCATGGCAATCTCAAGCCGGACCGCTTGCGGGGCTTGGTTGTGGCCGCCGCCGTGGAAATCGTTTGCCGATCGATGGGGAGCAGTGTAATCGCGGTAGCCTCTGCCTCCTCCATGTCGACCGGCTACAACGAAGTTGAAGAAGCAGCACGCAAGGAATATTTGCCACAAGGCCGCCATGAGAAACACAAGTAAAGCAAAGGCTGAAGGCTGAAAGATCTTGGGCACAGAAAACCTGCGCAGGCACACGGCGACTTGCTTCACATGTCAAGGCCGCAGCAAGAGTGGAACGCAGGCACCAAGATCTTTGCTTGAAAGGCAGGGGCGCGTCTTGCTGCCTGGTACACGGTCTTTCGCAAATGCTTCTTTTTCGAGCCACCCCGCAGGAAATCGCAGAAAAAACGGATCATGGCAACGGCTGTGTCTTCTGCTGTTAGCTGCATGTCGCGCCACCGAGTTAGACGGCCCAAGGGGACACACAATGCGTATCGTTTGTTTGCCGTCCATCGGGGGCGCGGCAAGAAGGTCTTGTGACGGGGGCCCCGATGCAAGCTGGGAGAGGAGATTTCAATGCCCAACCAGGCCAGTTCCCTTGCAGCTGACAGCAATTGGACCTGAAAAGGGACTGAGTACACAGCTGGGATACCTGCTTGTAGGCATGTTGCACACAAGGCACGGCTGATCCAAAGCACATCATCTACATATCTCCCTCGGGCTATCATGCGCGGTCTGGCCAGTGGTATCCTGCCTGTGCACGTCTGGTGACATCAACGGAGAAATTGTGTTCTTGCCACCCCAGAACGCAAGAGGCGGTTATCTTAGAAAGCAAGCCCCCAATTGGCAGTCGTGTGAAGGACCACACACGGTCCCCTGTCCTTGCGTGTTTCGTGCTGCACGCAGCTGGAAAAAGCCAGAGCAAATCCCAGAGATGGAAAACACGGCAATTTTTGAGCGAACGATAAACACATCCTCCAAAGAAGGCATGTTTACCGCTTGCGACTGTGATTGCTGTCTCACCATCTTGTTGCGCAAGCCGAATTGCATTGTGAAGGGCTTCGCAAGCTGTTCGAGCTGACACCGCTTCAAGAAATTGCCCTGCGTCTGCTGCAATGCCCTGAAAAGGAAGGCATTGGTCACAGTTCTCTTGCTTCCTTCAGGGACCAGATTTCGTTTGAACACAAGGTGCTTTTTACGAGAAAAGCCAACGCGCGCCCAGCACGTCGCCAGGCCCTTCGGCATGGCCACTTGCAATAGGACACTATGCGGCGCATGCACGGATGCCTGCTTTGGTTGCACACGCGGCGTCCTGCTTGAAAGCACTTTGCCTTTATACTCGCATAGCAGTAAGGCAAGAGCCAATTCTGCCGCCTAACGCCAAATTGCCTGTGCAACGACACGGGGCTGAACACTGTGAGCAAAGCAACTCGCCATGAGTTGGCATCAGCTGTGGTCCAGGTTGCAGAAGCTGAAGCGAACCATGCCATCATTAAGAAGTATGTGGCAAGTGGAACTTTCCACTTAAACTGCTTTTGCTTGTCGTCCAGGCAAATGATCTGGTTCTTCTTTATGGCAAACGGAGCAGTGGCCTTGTCATAGCCACGCCTGGCAAGTCTGCAGCGAAGAGGAAATTGCACTTGCAACCGGCTTGCAGCTGCTTGACAGACGCCACGCCCAAGCCTTCACGCACTGCTTGGCTGCGCGGACGTTTTCTTGACGCGATGGTCGAAGAGGGATTTGCCAATTGTGCTCAATCCGCTTTGCTGCGAGCAGCCAGAAATGGCAGCAGCTAAAGAGTTGTCATCACAATTTTGCAAGAGCGACCACTGAAAATCCTGGGCTCTGGCTGCGCAGTTTTGGAGGTCTGCAAAAGTGCTCTGTTTTCCAATGACAAGTTTTGTGCTGTGGCTGGCATATTGCTGCAAGGAGGCGTCCCAGTCTGAACACTGGCGCACTGCAAACCGGATAGCAGACCGAACTGCTGGCACAAAGGTTCTGTCCGGGGCTTTCACTCATATGCCCGTTGTCGGAGGGAGCCCCCTGAGACGAAGCAATTTGTCGATCTTTTCTTGCACAAGCATGCGGCGCCTGTGGCGAAGCCACGTGCGCCTTTTTTCCAAAGGCGAATTGCTGCGCACGAGCACTAGCAAAAAACGCTGCTGGGGTGCTGAGGTAAAGCAGCGCCAATCGCCAATGTGAAGGGCTGTATATGTTGAACGGGCCACACTTGTTTGCCCGAGCCACCCGCAACTGAAGGGTGAAGCTGTATGCAGCCTTGAAGTTCAGCTGCTGGGCTTGGATGACATCGCTGTTCATGCAGGCGGCGATTGAAGGCAAGTGCCCCGTCCACTTGCTGAGCGCGCTTGTCAAACTGGCTTGCAGCAAATGCACCTTCAAAAGTGCCTTCGCGGACATGCACCCTCTGCAAGACCTTGGCGGCCGTTGCCGGGTTGTTGTTGAACCTCAGCTTGGTGTTTCCAGTGGTATTGGCAGGGGGGTTGTGGCAACGTATTTCCAATTGCTCTGCTGCATTCATCATGCTGGAAGGCCCTGCGCGGCAGATAAGGAAGCCTTGCGCGTGCCGGGCCGCCCTTCGAAAAAGGCTGTACTTTTTTAAGGAGGAGCCTTTCAAGCTGGGCCGCGCGACGTGCAACATGTGTTCCCACCAGCGCTGCGCTGGACCTGGTGTGTGTAAACAGGAGCGTCTTTGCAGGGAGGCCACTCCAACATATCTGGTTGGGCCAAACCACTGGTAAAGTACGGACGTGTTTTCCAACTCAGAACCATACACATGCGTAGATATGTCAGAGGCCGGGGCTGCAAGGAGTTGCATGTGCACTAATTCGTTCACTGCAAGGACCTTCTTGTCATGTCTTATCTGTGTGAAGGATTGTGGCCAGAAATCACTTCTCTGCTCCGAAGTCAAGAGTCGGCCAACTTGGTGGGACTGTTGCGTCCTTGCCAAGAGCCTATCAGCCACCATGAGCAAAGCTGCAGTTCCGACCTGCGCGCCAAGCTGTTTGACAGGAATGTCCAAGTCTGCGCGCAGATGGTCAGCAAGCCAAATTGCCTGCAGAAGTGCTCGGAGGGAGCATTGCACAGAAGGCCAGTGGCTGTGGTCCATGAATCCGCCATCCCAGAGCCAGAGCGCAAGTATCATTCGTTGGCTCGGGTCAGGGATTTGTGGACAAAATTGTCCATCCCGTTGACGGAAAAACGGGCACTGGGGCGTCAAGCCTCAGAGTCAAGCAGCACCGCTACCAAGTTAATGGCAATGCCTGGTGGCTTGGCCGGAAACGCTCCCGTAGCAACAATTGCTGCTGATGCTTCTTTTTGAAGTCAGAGCCCACGCGTGTGCGGCGCCACGGGCTCCTTGAGCGCCGGCCTAAACCCTGACAGGTGAGATTCAAAAAACCTCTGCATCTGCTCAAGCCGAGAAATGCGGATCCAGCACAGGTTTGAAACCGAGGAACGAAAGGGTACCACACGGTCCCCGAAACAAGAACAACACCGAGAAAAAACGGCAGGGCGAGCGGTGCAGAACCTGAAGGCAACAGGCACTGAGGGCGGCGCCACCTGAGACAAAACAGGGGGGCAAAGGGAAGCTCCAAAACCAAAAGCCAGAAACCTTTTTTTTGTCGACATGAGGAAAATGTTTGGAACTTCAATTCCAGATTCGGGGAAGACTCAAGCGGAGCTGGAGCCTCCAGCATCTCTCATCTCTCACGTGTCGCGTGCAAAGCGAAGCTTTGTCCAGGAATCCCGGGAGACCTCGGCATGCCTTGAGGATGCGTCGGGAGGGAAGCCAACACAAAACAACACACGCAAGCAAAGCAACCAAGCAACCAAGCCCATCATTACGCGGGTTCACCTTTTTGAGACATCACTGACATCACATCATGACAGAGTCATTTGGAATGAGTGCTTTGCTTTCTCGAGAGTTGAGTATCTACGAGACGACCTTAGTGGCCTTAGTAGCTACGAGACGGTCTGGCTCCTACCTTTGGTTGGTTTGGGTTGGTCGTGAGGTGTCAGGGCAGCCCCCGTTGGGGTGGAAAAAAGCAATGAACCTAGGCAAAATTCCTTCGCTGCAAGGATGGAAAAAGCGGAAGCAAGAAAAGCAAAAACACTAAGATTTACTTAGGTTATTTTGCAGCCTGCCATTTTGCTTTCGAGCTGAACACCACAAGATCATCAGTCAAACAACTCACGCAACACGCAGAGACACTGCGACAGCCTGTGGCCACGAATGCTGGCACTCAGCGAAAGCAGCACGTTGGCTGTTGCGATCATAAGAGCATGCCTCAAACCAAGGGGGGGAGGTAGTGCAACAAGGGTCCTTGGAGAGATCTGAGTGAGCCGCCTATGGCGTTCTATGCTTTGGCCGCACAGGAGGGGGAGAGAGAAAAAGAAACAAAACGAGATCCTTACAAACATTAGGCCCCCCCCCGACCTGAAATGTCCCCAGAACCGTTCTAAGCACCGCTTAGAAGGTGTTTTACGAACCTTCCTTGGAGGTGGGGTTCCCATAGGGTTCAGTAGCTGGGGTTGTTTCCATTAGTCTACCACTTGGGGTTGGGTGGCCGCGAAAATCGTAAAAGCATCGGCGCTTTTGGTGTTTTCTCGCTTGCTTCCTTCTGCCAGATGGTGGGGGGTTGCAGTGACCCCCTGAGGATTGCGGATTAAACCGGGTCCCCCATTTTGAACAACCTTTCTTCACTAGTGTCAGGTTTTTTAGTTTTGGGGTTCTCTTCATTTTTCGTGGGGGCTGCTAAAAACAAAGTTCTTTGCTACCACGCCAAGGGTTGCAAAGTTTTTTGCCAGAGAAACCTTGAGCTAGGCACCCTACTAGACTACAGACAAAAAAATGGTACCCTTATTCTAACCTCTCTACTGGAGGACCGAGTGAGAAAGAGGGAGCTGGAAAGAGTCGCTGAGGTCTCCATGCATCGGCCCAAGGCGGTTTTGCCTTGGCTCCGTCACCGGCTCTTTCGCTGGACACCCTCAGCCATACCTTTCCACGCCGGGGAAGCGCAGACGGGGGGGGGTTGGGTTGCAGCGGGGGTTTGCCTTTGTTTTGTTTTGTTCAGCGTTAGTCCCACTTGTTCAGTGCTGCCCCTATGGGGTTCGCTAAAAATGGCTGACACAGAGATCCAGAGTTCTCTTGTTCAATTATTGCCTCTCGACTGCCCCAAAAGCCCTTGGCTGGTGTCATGCAAGGTTCACGCCTTGTGCGTGAACAAACACGAGTACCTTACAGAGGCACTTGCAGACCATCCACTCACTGCCCGAGTTTTCTGGACTTCTCAACTTTTTTGGTTTGGACTACTTTAGTGGTAGAATGTGGTAAATGAGCAAGTTTGGACTCTTTCCAGGACTTGTTTAGGGCAATCCACTCCGGACGTGAGTCCACGCAAGCCTCTTTGTTGGGAACACGGGGTCGGGGCCATCACCAGACAGCTGCCACAGCGGCCCTGCAAGACATCATTTCCCTCCTTTTCCCTTATGTAAAGGGTTCCTATGTCCGTCTTTGGGCGGATCCCTTTTGTTTGGTACTCAAAGGAAAGCAAAATGGATGGCTATGATGTGTACTACACATCATAGGGAACTCCAGAAACGCTGGTTTTTTGGTACAAATCCTCTGGAGGATGTCCTCCAACGGGCCACCAATTAAATTTCATACCCAAATGGCTGTGGGTCAACACCAACTAGGTGCACCACCCATTTTAGTCTATTTTAGTGGTTGGATTGGGATGTTCACTGGGGGTACTGGCTTTTGACCCACGGCCAAATGATCCGCTCCAAAGAGGCTTCCCTTTTCTTCCATTTGCTTAAGTTTTGTTTCTTTTCCCCTGTTGGTTTAAAGGGAATCGATCTCGCTACTGGAAATATTGTTATTTTTCCAGGGGGCTTAAGCAACTGGCAGTTTTTTCTACGGGGCAACTGGGAAGTCGGACATTCCGTCGAACAGCAAATCGCGGTTGTGCGATGATGAGGTCTCCGCTTGCGAGATGATGGCTGTTCAGCGCGTCGTTTTTTTGGGGGGTCACGAGGCAGAATGTCAGGATGCTGGGCACCTTCAGCACGGAAAAAGAGCATTGTTGCTGGTGAATCATGTGGCTGTGGGTCAAAACCAATGGCACCATTTTGGGGTAGGTGCACTGGCAGTACGGGATTTTGACCCATGGCCATGTGTGGAACGCCGTGTTTTCTGTCCAGATGGTGAACTATCCAAACAATCACCTGCTAGCATGCCAACGACTGCTTTTTGGACAGCACTTAGGGAGTTGGACATGTTTGTTTTTGTTTTTGTTTTTGGTGGGGGGGGACGTAACGAAGAAGGATGTTAAGGTGGTAGGCGATAGCGATGGAATGGCAGATTAGCTATTTTCTGGAAGGTCAATCGTTTTCAAGATATATCATACAATCAAAATAAGATAAAGACAAAGAGACACATTAGAAATGGATGGCTTTAAAAATCGAAAGGGGGTGCTGGCGGTGGAAGACCAACCATCCGAAATCACAATTATTGAACTCTTCCCACATCAAGAGGCTAAATGATTACCCTCCCACCCGTTTCATATGGAACCTGACGTTCGGGACCCGGTCCCTTTAAAAGGAAGATGGTCCAAACCTGGACCGATCGAACGGCAGGTTCCATGTTAGTGTTGACCCCATATGAATCCACCCCACATTATCAATAGGGCGTGTCCCTGGGTTTCGTGGGGAATCAGACGACTTCTGGAGGGGCCCCCACCCCCCAATAATCAACTGGGGTTGACAAAAAATGGGTTCAGCACAAATTACCCCAGCTGCAGGAGGATGATTCGCGCCAGGGGCGGCCGAGGCAGGCAACATTTTTGTTTTTGGCTCCCAGTCATCCGGTTCTTTAGGTTTGTAGACTTTTGGTTTAGTGGCCGGGTGTCCATTTAACTACGAGACTACGAGTTAAAGCGAAACGAATTTCCGCATCAGCGGCTACCAGGAGTCCTGAGCGCGCTCTGCTTCAGCCGTCTCTCATATTTGAGCAAAGATTGGCCGGCGCGGGTGTTTTTTTGGATCCCAGAGAAGCGAACGGGGCAAAAGCGTGGGATTTGGACCTCCAAAATGGGTGTGTGTGTGTGGGTTTCTTCTTTCATGGTGTTTTTTTTGTGTTTCCGCCGATTTTTTTGGGGGCTCCGCAATTTGGAGACAGACCCGCATAGGAATGCTTTGCCCGGAGGGGCTTCCACGTAACCAAACCTCACGGGGGGCCCAGCACGTGAATCTGAGTCCAGCCAGGTGCCACATCTACATTTGCCGCTCAGCCGCATTGGGAAGAGGACTTTCCAGGTTTGGAACTTACTCCCGGCGTTCATGAGCTTGAGTCATTTTGGGGGGGGGGGTTGGACCATTTTAGTGGCACTCACAAAGTTTAAGCTTTGTTTGGTTCATCCACTCAGCAAGTGAGCATTTGGGTGCCCAGATTCCATGGAAGGAAGGGTCAAACGTTGCTCATTTGATTTGGCTTTCAAGTCCGTCAGCCCCAAAATGGTATGATTTAAGCCTGAAACGGCTGCGTTGTGTTGTTTTGTTTTTGTTTGCCCCGTTGAGGCGGCAACAAGCGCTGCAAGGCCGATGAGTCTTTGGAAGCCGGGCGCTGAACTTGTCAGAAGGTGAGCCTTTTTTTTCGTTCTGAGTCCTGGAAAGTGAGGTAGCCTTCAGCGTTAGTTGTAGAAAATGGCGCCAACAACTTCCATCTGCTCAACATGCTTTCTATTCTGGTTTTGAAGGGAATGAACCACTGCTGGAAATATTGTTTGGTGGTTGTCTTTATGCAACAAAAACACGCAGATGTTTTCTAGGGGGCTGAAGCAAATGGAGGAGACTGCTGAGAAAGGGCTATGGGGCATGGCCAATGGGTTCAGCGCCAAGGCGCACTGGCCCCGGATCTTTCAGCAGGCACGGAGGGCCTCGGGCGCCTTTGGCTGGGGCTGAGGGGCTGACATCTTGGACTCCTCGTTTTTGTCGAAGCATGTCGAAGCTTTTCTGCGCAGAACGAGGTGTTGTTTTGTGTTTCTAGGGATGGTTCTCTCTTAGGTTTGGGTCCCTGGGTGGGTTGGTTGGTTGGTTGGCTGGCTGGTTGTTTGGTTGGTTGGTTGGTTGGTTGGTTGGTTGGTTGGTTGGTTGGAACCCCGGCACTGATTCGGTGGCGGTAGTCTAGTCTGTCTTGGATCTTTCCAGGTGGGGGCTCCCAACAAAGGGATCTTTCAACATATATGGTAGATTTTACATATCTATGTACACATAGAGTACGCAAACGTGTATATCCCCTTTGTGAGGCCCTTTGTGGGTGCGTGGGAGGCACTGGGCTTCTTCACGTCACCAGGTGACACTACACCCAGACTCGGACCTTTCTAGCGACTTGGCTTCAGGGTCACCCTTAACGGACCGGATTCTTCGGCTCCGGTTTTGACCATGAGCGTTTCACATGTGTCTAGTTGATCCCCCAGTTTTTTCAACCATCGTTCCTTCCAAAAACCGGCCGTTTCCCCTGGGTTTTCAGAGGTTTTCTAGAAAGAAGGATCCCTTAGAGTTTCCCTAATGGTCACCCCATGTTCATGGGATCTTTTCACCAACCCCCAGGAACAAAGGTCGTTTTTCTTTGCGGGCTTGGTTGCTTTGATTCCATTTTTGCAGAAGTTGTGTTTCTTTGTTCCCCCTTGTTGGTTTTAAAGAGAATCCATGCAGGTACCACAAAAATTGGCGGTTTGGATTGGTGGGAACTGGGGATTGGAACCCCTGGTTCTTGTAGAGGGTAGATGGGAAGCCATCCCTGAACCACCAAAATCCAAACCACCAACTAGATGGAAGCCTAGATGTGAAGGAATTCAGGGCTATGCGCGGCAAAGAGGAGTGACAGATGCAGGGCATTTTGGTGCCCCTGGCGGTCTAGTATTGTCAGCTGCTTGGCTGGTGGTTGGTGATACTAGGTTCCCCACTTGTGCCCTTTTACCCTTTTTGGGGGGGAGTGTTCCCCTACTAAAATAGACTACAGAAAAAGGGCAATTACCCTTATTCTTCCCTCTCTACTGGAGGACCTAGGTATGAATCTACCTGCTCGCGCCTTGATTTCTGCGTTGTTCTTGGACACGGGCGTTTGCCCTTGTACCGTGTTGCGCTGACCACGCCTCTGCGAAAACCAGGGGATCCGCTAAAAGATCTAGGGGTACCTTCCCATTCTTGCCAGGCATCCTTCTTTCTAAAAAACCACCCAAGACCCTGGGGAAACGGATCCGGTTTTTGAAAAGAACGATGGTTGAAAAGATTGGAAGGGGAATCAACCTCCATTTGCTTAAAATGCTCCTGGCTAGAAAATGAGAAGATATGTCCAGTGAAATCGACCCCCTCAAAAACCAACAGGGAAATACAACTATTTGCTGAAAGAGCTAGTTTTGGGGATCCCTGTTCGGAGACGGGGCGCGCGGTGCATCACATCAGGTTCCGACGAGAGCGATTCTGAGGAGGCTGGAGAGCAGTCCAGCGGAATACGGGCGGCGGGCGGTGAAGGTGGGAGTTAGCATCAAACACAAAGATTCCGTTCCAGAAAGCTTGCCAACTGGAAAAATGCCGTTAAAATATCCACTGAAAGCTGGTCTTCGAGGCATTAAGCAGCGCCCTTCTTCATGTCACATGTATATAGTATGTATATATATATGTGTGTGAGAGAATATGTATATATATATACACGTATCTTTGGTTTCAGGTTCAATTGTTTGTCTGCGCCAACGGTCTGATCGAAAGCCATTTTGACTCCAGCGCCCAGCAAACCTCTGGAAGGCCGATAAATAACGGGCTACACCAATAGTAAAAGTCTTCAAGAACGATAGGGTTGTGTGCACGGGGCTGCTGGAGAGAGTAAACATGGTTTTGTGCACGGGGCTGCTCTTACGCAAGGAAACAAGCTGCTGCCAAAGTGTACTTCCTATACTACGCTTGTACTGAGAAGTTGCAGCTTTCGAGCCGGAGTTGGGGTTGCTAGCAGTAGGGGCCCTTTGTGAGATTTGCAAAGTTTGACGTATTCGTCACATTGCAGTAAGACGTTGCCTTTTGCTGGCCGGTTTTCTGGCTGAGGGAACGGCAAGCTCTCCCCAAGAAGGCGTCCACCCCAAGCCACTACCCCAAAGGACCACAGGGACACGCATCGGCTTTTTCAGTGGCTGTATATCTCATGCATTGACCCTTAGGGGCAGTTGTTTGTGGGGAGCGGAAGCCGTCAACTTTTCCGAATGGACGTGCAGTCTCCTGACGCCAGGATTGATTGGAGAACGCGCGGAAAAAGCGACAGCTCTCCCTGGGCATAGATCTCCTTGCTTGAAACAACCATGGGCTGCTGAGCCGAGGGCCGATCTTTTTTCACCAGGTGCAGTTTAGAGTCGGTCAGAACTTTGAGCTGCAGTCTTGTTGTGACAAAGTGGCAGGCGTGTTGTCCAGTCGGGCAGTGATTGGCGGACCAGTGATGGCCGTTCAATGGGCAGTTCAATCATGTGCGAGTGAAGTAGGTGTTGTGCTCGAACGGCAAAAGTGATGAGACATTAGGACCCCCCTTCCCCCCCTTCAGAAAAAGCTAAGCACCCCCAGTGCATCCCAGTGATACCTATATAGTAGGTAACCCTTCGACCCATTTTCCTTATGGTTTTTAAAGGCTGGTCCGGGGATCTTCCATTTGGTTAAGAAAATGTTTTTCCCCCCCCTCTTGGTTTTAAAGGGAATCTATCACTACTGGAAATACGCTTTTTTTCCCAGGGGACTTGAGCTGGAGGAAATGGAATCACTGGGATCCCCAAAGGCCTCTCCTCGCAAAGTTTGGCCTGGCCTTCCACTGCCACGCTGGCTCAAAACATGACAGGAGCGCAGAAGAGTCCGGTTCTTCATGGTCCCGACTTGGAATTCACAGCATCATTCCGAGCAAATGGCATGCGGATGCAGATACATCGCGTGCTATGGTATGTACATATATAGAATATATGTACATTTACATATGCATTTAGACATATCTATATGTACAAGCATATTTGTATGCATGTATTTGCACACGAATAATTACGAATATACATCAGCATTTGCATGCATGCATTTGGAGGTGCGCCAGAGGGGGGGGGCGATTTTTTCGCCTGGCCGCTCTTTACATCGCCGCGGCGCCGCTCATTGCGCGCGTCGATGTGGACCGATGCGAAGTTCCTTCCGTTCCTTTGGGCTTCGCCTTGAGGCGCCGGGTCCGATCCAAACCCTGGGATTACAACCCGACTGCCCAAAGGCGCCCAAAGGCGCCCTGGGTTCACACAGGGACCCACAGAATCAGCCATGCACAGTAGGTTCGCTCACTTCTATGGGCCAAAATAAGTCCCCAAGCTTGTCATTCAGAACTCTTTCGAACATTTGAATTGCCAAGGGTGTCAAACTGACCCTGTTTATGGTAGTCAATCTCCCAGATGTAGCCACAAGGGCTTCGATCCAGTGGATTCCTGTCACACCATAAAAGACACTGCAAACCAACATGGAACCCGAAAACAAGCTCCACTCCCAAAAGGGACTTGGGTGTGACTGGGCCCGAAATGGCTTCGAGATCCTCATGAACCCTCACGCTTGGTCATGTATTGGGGGACCTGCCCCCCTTAGAGGCTCCCACATCTTTCCCGGGAACCTGGGGGGAAAAGGGAGGAAAACACCGCAAGGGCGAGGTCCACGTTTGTCTCACTTCCATGTGCCTAAGAATATGTGCTTTATTTTATTTTCCCTTGTTGGTTTTAAAAGGAATCTATCACTACTGGGCATATGTTCTTATTTTTTGCAGGGGTCCCTCGCCAAATGGAAGCGGGTGCTAAGTTGCCTGGCCCCTTGCAGGCGGGTGAAGCCGTTGCGGACGCTTGGCTTCACGAGGGGCCTCTAACGGGGGAGCTGTGGAGAGTGGCGTTTTTTGGGTCTGCTGTGCAAATTCTTTGCTGTTGCTTGCAGGTGTTTAGGTTCAGAGGTGCATTTTGCTTGGGTGTTAGGACTTTAACTTTTTGCCAACTAATGGGCGTTCCATTAAACTTCTAAAAGTTAAACTTAAAGCAGGGGAGCAGACAGCAACTGATATTATTTGCTGTTGTTTGCAGGTGTTTACGTCTTTAGGTTCTTTGGCTCTCTTTGTGTTTAGTGGGGGCTGCAAAAAAGCGGAGTTTGTTGCTACCACACCAAGGGTTGTAAAGAATTCTTCACATGCAAAAAGACAGAGTGTGACACTCGTCGAGCATCCCATTCGCCCGCCAACTTTTTGAATGTGTGTGAGATGGTGAGGCCGGCAGGTAGTCAAGTCCAAACTGCGTGCTTGCTCCATCTTCGGCCTTGAGGATGTTTCATTTGCATAGGCGACATGGAGTATTAGAAATTGACAGGCGTTGCTTAACCTCCATGGAACAGGACTGATGCTTTGAATTCTTCGTCCCACTGTCGCTGGGCTGGATAACCACATGGAACCTGCGGTCCCTGTTAACGCGTGTCGGCAACCTGAATGACCCTGCCAATATGAGCCCATGCCCACATCGAGAAGTCTCTCAGAAATTTTGCGCATCCTCTTCAGGAGAACTGTGGCATGGGCCTGGGGCGTGCGGCCGGCAAACGTTGCGCCGCCGCCGGCCATTCTCGAAGAAGTCGCAGAAGATGCTTGGCTGATGTGCTGGGGACCCTCCCGTGTGGAGCACATTGGGCACGCGCCTTGGGCGCGGTGGCTCTTATCAACAGCGCTGCTGCGAGCACAACAAGTGCTGCTGACGCCAACGCCACGACAACTGCTGACGCCAACACGACGGGGGGTTTAGTGCCTCGGCAACTGGACGGGCTAAAGCGGGCATTGCAGGTTTCAAGAGGTTGATGTGTTCGTGCTTCACCCATCCCGCTCCAGGTGCCCTTGGTTTTTAAATCTTCATCCGTTTTGTTTGAAGAGGTCGCCCTTGAAGGTCGAGTACAAAAAGCAAAGTGCCAGTGTTAGTGTTCCTCTTGGTATCCATTGAACACCATCTTAAAAGGGACCATTTGGAGACAGTCACACCTGGTTGTTCTATCCCACATTTCTCAAAAATGGCTTTAGGATTTTCGCCTGGAACTAAGATGATACTGATACTTTAATTTGAATTTGGGGGCTGAAGAAATCTGCCCATTTTATAGCGAGCTCACCGATTCGGGGGTATAACGAGATCACCATGACAAAGATCCTTTACTTGGGGATCCATTTCTTAATTCAGCTTTTGGAATTATCGTGCAACGTTTTGCAGCATCCATGTTCCTTCTTTGTCTTTACAGGGCATGAGCTCCTTGATCCGCTTTGGCTGAGGTCTCTCCTGAGGAGGCGAGGCTGCATCCGAAGATTTGCCTGGGCTTGTTCTCAAGGCTTCCATTTGCTGAAGCGAAAATGCTTTATTTTCTTTGTCTTTTTGAAGAGAACCTATCCCTACTAGATAGATTTTTCAGGGGACTTAAGCAAGGAGAAGAAGCAGACCCCCAACTAGTTGTTTGCCTCGATGCCAACCCCAAAACGGTCTGCCAAACCTCGACTTAGTCACCATTTGGGGTGTTCTTTGAAGAAAGGCCCTCCTCAAAATAGGTGGCTTCCTAATACCTCAAAATAGGTGGCTTCCTCTCTTAGCTTCCCCTGCTTTTAGTTTCCCCACAATACGACAAAACAGAGTTCCAAGCCGAAAAAACGGACAGAGACCCCCAAGGGATGGCATCATTTTTGGAAGCTCCCGCTGGCCTCCGCGTGCTGGCCAGGAGCCCCTCAACGTGGAAACGTTGGTGATGTGCGTGCTGGTGCTGATGCTTGGCGAAAAAAACAACAAAAAACACGGGTATGGGTACTTTGCGGATGCGTTTGGCCAGGCTGAATTGTGTTTGTGAAAGAGACACGGGTATGTGTCAAAATGAAACCACCAGGAATTGGACCGCAGGTTTTAGTCGTTTCCATGTAAATTTACCACGGCAAGCCATGTTGGGGTCACCCTATTTTTGACCCACAGCCCACGAGTAAAGAGAGAGACCATAGGAAACCCGTGGGAAACCCATGGGAAACCCATACGAAACCTCCAAGGAGACCTTCGGAAACCTGGTGGAAAGTTTATAATGATACACCTCATATATGGCTCGGGTGGGGTTGGGCCCCTCGAATCCATGTGAGTTTGAGGTTTTTCCCCAGGGGCCAAGGGCCAGGCGTTCAGTGTGGGTCTGGGGCCCGCCCGTGTTATTTTTCCGCTGGTTTGGCTGGGCCCTGATCTTCGGATAATTCTCCTTCTTATGGGTGAGGAAATGGAGCAAGGGGCATCTTGAATCGCATTTGAATCGCCACCCCATCTTGAATCGCATTTCCCCCAATCTTCGGTCAGGATGCCCCCACCCCCACGCCGACCACACAGCCCCTCACCCTCCCAAATGGGTGTGGGTCAAAAACAGGCACCAAAAGAGGACTCATGGTAAAATGGAGAAGTTGACTAAAACCCCTTTGGTCCGATTCCTGTTGGTTTCATTTTGACGCATACCCAAATGTTCGGTTGAGGATGGTCGTGGCCTGTGCCTCGGTGGTGATCTGCGCGGCTCTGCGCCGCGGGCTCGAAAAGATCTGGGAGGCGCGGCTCGACGGGTTCCGCGAGTCATGGCTCCCGCGCGGACGAGCGCGGGGAGTCTATGGAACGGGTGTGTCGCGTTTCCAGAAGCACGAGTGACACGTTTCGCCTGTGCTGTGGAGTCGGTTTCAAAAGCCGGCTTCCGACTTTTTGGCTATTTGGTTGGATCTTTGGATCTTTTTTTGGGGTTGAAGTAGTTCGGATTTTCTGAATTGGACCCAAAAAAAGTTAAAACAAAATGCAGAGGGGTCAACAGCCCGGTCCATTTTCAACATAGTGTAGAGGGGTCAACAGCCCGGTCCATTTTCAACATGGTGTGCATTGGGCGGATCTCGACTGGAATTCAATTGAAAAGCAAGCCATGCTTCCATCATGCCCACTTTGGGGAAGAATGAACCAAACGGAATCTGGGAAAATGAACTCGCCACTACCACCTTGAGGCCTTGAGGTAGGATGTTATTCCATTGCAGTTCGGCTGACTGGATGGCATCACACCCCTGGTCTGCTGAAAGCGCGCAAAAGGATTTGATACCGTTGCACCAAACCAATCGGATCCACCAGATCCCGGGCCCCAAATTTCAGAGGAAAATCGCGTTCCAAAGCCCATCTATCGATGTTGCATGTGGGTGCCGGGGGCCTGCTGGGATTTTAATCCAGTTGATCGTTTCTGTCGGCCAGGAGGAAGCTTTGGAAGACGAGGACGGGATTCCGAATCGGTCCTTGGGAGTTCCAAAAACCACCTCCGAGTTTTTGTTTTCCGAATCGGCCCGGATGGACCCGCGAAACCGGGATGTGATGACGGTAATGCTTGAGAGGTAGTGACTGGCTTTCTTTGCACTTGGCAACGTCAAGGTTGGCATGGGGGGCGTTCTTTTGTTTTCAGCCCCTGTCATGCGTATTCAGGTGGAACGCGGAAGTTGTTAGGCCACGGCCACCGAGAGACACGCGTGCGCTTCAACGCAGGATCAAATGCAGCATGATTCAATGATGCCAAGAATGCAAAGCACGGGACTCGCCCGACAAAGGGGACAAAATTGACTGGAAGCAACGTTGACAAGGCAGTATGGCACTTGCTTGGGAGCCTTTTAGAAGCCATGAATGAATGGTGGACTTACACTTTGGGGCTTTACTTGAGACTTGCTTGCCAGACATTCGCACCTTGAATTCAGTGCCTCTTTGCCATGGGGGATGAGCCCCAGAATGACGTGGCATCCTGGCTGGTGTTTGCTATATTGCAGCTTGGCCAATGAGACGGCGCTTCTGAGTGCGCACACATCCGTGAGCGCGGGCACTGATGCTGTCTCTGACCATGACTCAAAAACATGCATATACATACATGCTTATGTTTGCATAATGGAGCGAAAGCAAGGACGAACACAAACAACAACACGGAGAGAGAGAGAGAGAGAGAGAGAGAGAGGGAGAGAGAGAGAGAGAGAGAGAGAGAGAGAGCGCGCGCCGCACCGCCCCCCCCCCAGACAGATGGACGGACGGATGGACCGACGGACACATAGACACACCGACACAGACACATACACAATCATACACACAGAGAGACACACAGACCCACAGAGACACACAGGCACCCGCACGCGCGCATGAGAGGCACACACGCACGCGTGCGTGCGTGCGCGTGCGCACGCGTGCGCGTGCGCGTGTGCATGCACGTGCGCACACGCGCACACGCGCACGCGCACACGCGCACACGCGCACACACCCACACCCACACCCACACCCACGCACACACACACACACACCCACGCACACACACACACACACACACACACACACACACACACACACACACACACACACACACACACACACACACGCACACACACACGCACACACACACACACATACACACACACACACACACACACACACACACACACACACGCACACACACACACACACACACACACACACACACACACACACACACACACACACACACACACACACACACCCACACACAGCCACCTGCCCTGCATACTATATAACTCATACTTGCTCCTTTGCCTGCCTGCCTTCACATACTTTCAACATGCCTTACCATGCCCCACTTCCATACCTTCACTTTGTGTACCTACCTTATATATGTATATATATATATATACACACACAAATATACACACATGCACACACGTGCACACACGTACACAGGTGCACCTGCGTGCCTGGGTGCACACACATGCACACATGCACACACATGCACACACACTTTTACGTAGCATGCGTATCTATCTTCTTTTCTTGTGTACATATATGTATATCATACATGTTGTGTATGTGCTATGTGTATGTGTAGTGTATTGCTTGTGTGTCCCAGCCATCATATATAAGCCATATATGTATATATATATGCCATATATGTGCCATGCCATGTAGTAGCCATGCATGTGTACCATGCAGCCATGCAGCCAGCCATGTTAAATCCATAAATACATCAACGTCCGTCCATCCATTATCCGTCCGTCATGATCAATCATCGTCAATACGTCCGATCTATCTAAATCGTCCAATCCGTCCGATCGTCCATCAAATCTAAATATTCAGTAAATCATCCATCCGATCAAATCCATCAAATAAATCCATCAAATCCGTCCATCGTCCGATGCGATAAATAATAAATCATTCTAAATGCGTCCATCTGATAAATCAATCACATCCCATCCGTCCGTCGTCCGTCGTCGTCCATCGTCCTCATATCCGTCCATCCCATATCGTCGTCAAATCGTCCATCCGTCCATTCAATCAGTCTAATTATTACGTCCATCATAATCCGTCCATCCGTCCATTAATCCGTCACGATAATCCATCGTCCGTCGTCCAAATAAATCCATCAATCCGTCCGTCCGTCCGTCCGTCATTCACGTCCATCTATCGATCATCAAATCGTCCGTCAAATCTTCTCATCCATCTGTTCAATCATCCATCCGTCCATCCATACATCCGTCGTCCGTCCGTCCATCCATTATTGAATATTGAAAGACTATGTTCTACCGCCTCGGCTTGCGCCGAGACTTTCTCTGAGGCGTCACGTCGTCATCCATCCGTCCGTCCGTCCGTCATCTATCTATCCATCCATCACGTCAATGATGATAAATATCATCAATAAATCATCAATCGACGTATCATCGTATCGTCGTCACGTCGTCTAAACCGATAAGTGGTAAATGCGTCCGTCGACATCGCGTCGATGTATCATTGACATCGACATCGGTGACATCGTATTATCATATTGTCATCAATATCGGCGTCAGTATCCAGTGACGTAAGCTATCGATGTCGACGTCGTGACACACATCGTGGTGTCGTGTACGTGATGACATCGATGACATCTGATGGTATCCAGTATCGATGTCGGTGGCAACATCAGCAATCGTGTTGATAATCCCTGCCTTGACGCCTCCCTTCGACGCCCGCGCGCCCCGCGACGCCGCAGCGCCAGCGTCCGCGCCCGGCGCGCTGCGTGCCCGCGGCGTCCCGCGCCCGCCGCCCGGCGCCCGCGTGCATGCGGGCGCCCGGCCGCGCCCCCCGCGCCACCGGCCTCCGCGCATCGCGCGCGGCCGGCGCCTCGCGCGCCGGCGCGCCCGGCGCGCGCCCGCGGCCCGCCGCCCGCCCGGCGCCCGGCGCGCACGCGCCGGCCCGGCGGCCGGCGTCCACGCGCCGCGCGCCCGCCGCCGCGCCCAGCGCGCCCGCGCCCGGCGCGCATGTCGCGCGCTCCGCGCATCCGGCGCCGCGCCCGGCGCCCGCGCGCCCCACGCGCCCGCCGGCCACCCACCCGCCACGCACCCGCCCACACACGCCCACACGCCCACCAACGCCCTGCCGCCCACCGCCACACGCCCACACGCCCACCGCCCACCGCCACACGCCCCACACGCCCACTGCGCGCACCGCCCACACACCCACACCCACACACCCCCACACCCCCACACCCCCACCACACCCACACCCACCCACACCACACACCCACACCCACACCCACACGCACACGCTGCACTTTGGGCACAGGCACCAGGCACAGGCACAGGCTGCCTTTTACGCTGCGCACACGCACCGCACCACGCTGCGCACACGCTGCGCACCGCACCCGCACCCGCACCGCACCGCCCGCACCCGCACGCATGCGCGCACGCGCCCTGCACGCTGCACCGCATGCGACGCACGACATGCGCACCCACACACACACACACACACACCCACACGCACGCACGCACGCACGCACGCACACACACACACATACGCCTGCTCTTGCCTCATATATACCTTACTTGCCTTGCCTACCTTCTGCCTCAACCTGCCTTACGCCCAGCATATAGCGCCATAGCATCACTTTGCTGTATCTTTGTATCTGTATCTCTTTCACCTTTCCTCTTTACCTCTTCCCTTTACCTTTCCTTTACGCTGCCTTACGCTTTGCTTTGCAGCACACACACCACGCACCCACCACACAGCACCCTTTCCCGCACCCGCTGCCTGCCCCCGCACCGCACCCACTGCACCGTACCTTTACCTTCACCCCCGCACTGCCTTGCAGCACACACATGCACACACACACACACACACACACACACACACACACACACACACACACACACACATTACACACATACGCGCAGCACGCCACGCCCCTCCCCGCCCCAGGCGCACACGTGCGTAGCTCACACAAGAGAGAACCATAGTTGTACTGTAGTCAGAGTTTGCATACATGTATATACATATTTGCACCTTCTGTTTGCTTCCGAAGCCTTGCTCATGCCTCTTTGGGTAGGCTGGTCGTGCCTGGCTGGACGTTCCTTTTGGATGGTGCTTGAAGGGAGGCTAACCAGGAACCCACTGTTTTGGGGGGTGCCATGTTTTTGGGACCCACGCATGTCTTGCTTCATGAATGGAGCAAACGCCAGGCCTTTTGACGTTTCCCCCCGTACAAATCCCAGGTTGGTACTTGCATTCCCGATTTGATCCGGTCCTAAGCACGGAATTTCGGAGAGTCTTGAATCGATCCAGTCACTTGGCTAGGGTGCTAAATACAGCGAATCGAGCTTTTGACCTTTCAGTTTCTCCTTTTGGTCATAGGCTCCGAAAGGTGTAGACCCTTTACATGCTTGTTGTTGGAAAACATGTTACTTTACATGTTTGCTCGTTGTGGTTTAGTGGTTGAAATCCCCACTTAACTGCTAAAATGCAATATCTGTTGCTCCCCAAACCCAACGTCAACCAAGCTTATGTAATTTAATTTGTTGCTCCCCTTCCAGTTGCCGTACCATGACCCCCATGGCCTCGCATGATCTCGCATGGGTAAGCCGAGCCTCTCGCTTCTGAGGCTCTCGGGGCTGCTGGCCTTTGACGTCTTCTACCAGTCGCCCCGGCAAATCGGGCGACTGCCCATCAACACGGCGGCCAAGATGACCAGCTTCTGGTTCGGCATGGGCCTCTTGGCCGCTTTTCTCATTTTTTGTTTGCATTTGCCAAGAGATGTTAGGACTGGGAAACTTTTGGCCAACTCCTGGGTTTTCCGTATTAAACCACTAAAAGTGAAACTTTTAGCAGGGGAGCAGAAAGCAACCGAGTTTTGATCCGTGTTTTTTTTTGGAAAACGAGCGTTTCCGCCCTAACATCCAGGAGCCAAGCAGTGAAAACATGGCTCGGCACATGGCCATGAACAGTTTTATGAGCGAATGTGCTCCAAAATGCTTGGTGGACAGAATTCCCCAGCTATTTTGATGGTCCTCCTGAGAGCTCCCTATGAAGCTTCATAGCCACGGTTTTCCGTGGTTTCAAAGTGGTGCGAAATGGATTCCGTCCATCGCAGTAGCAACACCGAGGTTTGAGCTTCAACCTCTTTATCCTGACCCACCTGGGCTGGGAGGCGAGCTCTGGCTTCATGCAGGGCTTCATCCTGGAGTACACTCAGCTGAAAGCGAAGCGAGCTTTGAACCTTTTGTTTCCTCTTTTTGGCGCACACCCTCAGACTAACATCCAGGAAGCTCCTAGACGGCTTCTGCAGAAATGGAACCAAGTCTATGGGGAGGCTTCGCTCAGGGTTGTGGGATCGCTCGGGGTTGTCCCCCACTTCTGTGATACTTTTGGGAATCTCCCTCTTTATATGGGGGGAGTTAGTCTTTGGGGTTAGGCCCTTTTTGTTGCCCTGTTCTGGTTCGATCGGCAGGGAAGGAGAAATGGAATGACCCCTATAAATAGTCACCTATGGTTTCCTTTACTGGAATCTACTCCCTCAGACTAACATGCAAGCTCCTGGACGGCTTTTGTAAAAAAGCAGCCAAGTCTTCCAAACGGGTCCGTTCGGGAGCTTCCATGGAATCGGCTGGGGGAGTGTTCCCATTGGGAGCCGTGGCTTTCAATTACAGGGCTCCTTAAAAGATACATGTTGCAACCATTTGAAACATGCTGCTTTTTCAACACCAAAAGGGGAAACCACCATTGACAAGGCAATGTTCAGGTGTATAATGTAAGGATCTTCTCATGTCTAGACAGTTCTTGACTTGCATAGGTGGCTGTTCGATCTGGAATCAAGCATGCTGCAGATGGTGCGAATCTCACACTACGATTTGTCAGGCAAGTCAGATGCGATGGTTGTTGATTTCGCGGTTGACTGTAAGCTTGACTGCTATTGGGTTGGATCTTTAGACTTTAACTTTTTGGGAAATACCAGGTTTTTTTCCCTATTACACCCCCCTAAAAAGTTAATTAAACTTCTTCCAGGGGGGTCGTTGCAGCAACCAATTTTGAGTTTCTTTGATTTGGGCCGGTTGAAGCAGGCGTTTTTTGAACCCCTGGAACCCAAGTAAACTGAGGCTCACCTCCCTGTTTCCCCCACCGAGAATTTATAGCTTCCGGTGATTCTCGCTTTCAACTCACTTCCTGAGTTGGACTTGAGTCACTTTCCGGTGGTCCCTGTTACAAATTTCTGGAACCCCTGGGTTGAGGTACATGCTCAGCTTCGACAACCTCTTTGTCTTCCACCTGGTTTTCTCTTACTACTGCACTCCAGAAGCCTTGGTCTACCGGGCCCTCTACTTCGGCATTGCAGGAACGATCGCTTTGGGAAAAGAATGAAAAGGACCACTTCCATTTGCTTGTAATAGTTTTTTCCCCCTTGTTGGTGTTAAAGGGAATCTATCACTACTGGACATATTTCAGTTTTTTCCAGCGGGCTTAAGCAAATGGAAGACAAAGTGAAGCAGTTGCTGTCCGAGTGAAACTGGTGTTTGCTGTTTTGAGTTGGTGGAAATGCCAGTTCGCATTGCGCTGACAATTAAATGGGTCCAGCACAGTGTCGGCTGCCGGGCGCTTGCAGGGTTCCTGACCCATATTTCATGGTTGTTGTTCGGACACATTTTACATTTTTGATTGTAGTTTAGTGGTTGAAATCCAAATCCACTTAACTGCTAACATTTTCAATGTTTTGCTCCCCAAACCCAACGTCAACCAAGATTTGTGCAGTTCCTCTAAAGGAACCACTAGATGGGTGTGTTCCGCGGTTCTTTCGATTCAGTGCGTTAGGCAAAAAAACAAACTGACGACCAGGGAAGCCTTTCGGCGAAGCTGGGCGGACGTTTCGGTAAGATATAAAGCTTTTTGGTGCATGCCAAGGGATGTTAGGACTGGGAAACTTTTGGCCCAACTCATGGGGTGTCCAATGAAACCACGAGAAGTCGAGAACTTTTAGCAGGGCTTGGCAGATTTCGCAACCCGGACCAGTTGTAGGAATCATAGCTTGGAGCCACGCCTTCTCTTCTTCTCTTCTCCCCTTCTCTTCTTCCCCAGAATTAGCTCCGTCAGGTAATTCCCCCCCAAAATGGTGACCCATCCCAGTCCCATACGTTGCTCCCATTAAGGGCTCCCGGTTCCCAACGTTGGTACCTGTTTTCTTTGGGTACCTGCCAAAGCCCCTGCCGCTGCCGCGTGTTGCCTCTTTCACTCTTTCTCTCTTTTTCCGTCTGTCTTTCTTTCTTTCTTTCTTTCTTTCTTGCCTTCCTTCCTTCTTTCTCTCAGTCTCTCTCACTCCCTCTCTCTCTCTCTCTCTTTGTCTGCCTCTTCCTCCTTTCCCAGTCTCTTGCTCTTCTTCTTTTCGCTTTCCTCTTTCTCTTCCTCTTTTCTTCTTGTCCTCTTTTTCTTTCTCTTTCTCTTTCTTTCTCTCTCCCTCTATTTATCTTTCTTTGTCTCTGCGTCTCTTTCTCTTTCTCTTGTGTGTTTCTCTCGTTCTCTCTTTCTCCATTTCTCTCTTTTTGTCTTTGTCTCTTTCTTTCTGTTTTTCTCTCGCTCTCCCTTCTCTCTTTTCTATAATGTGTCTTGTTCATATATATATATATATGTGCATTGTGTTGCTCTCTATGCTCTTTCTTGAGTTGTTTTCCCCGTAGGCCTTCTTTATTGTTTGCATACTATGTTTCTTTCGATTGCTTTATTTCTCTCTCTCTCTTTCTCATCCCCCACGCTTGGCGAGGCGCCATCGTGCTCCGCATATGCTTCATCTCCTTGGGCTACTCGCTGATGAACACCGGCGTGTACCTCGTGAAGTTTGCCTTCGGGGCTGTGCTTGTGTACAGCGGCATCAAGAGACTCGGCAAGGCTATGCAGTTATTTAGTCCTCCAAAGCCATTGGTGCATTTTGCTTGGCTGTTAGGACTTTAACTTTTTGCCAACTAATGGGTTTTCCACTAAACCACTAAAAGTTAAACTTTTAGCAGGGGAGCAGAAAGCAACCGAGAAGCCATTGTGCATTCAAAGTGGCCTAAATACTGTGGGTGAACGAAATCCTGCACCAGATTGAAACCATAGCAAACCATTGTTTGTTGATATTTACAGGGGATTCAGCACCCCAGGGTTTTTAGGTGGTGCAGGATTTCGTCCATCCACAGTATGTAGCAGAATCTGAGTTCATCTTCAGAAGGTAGCCCAGCTCATGAACTTCCAAGGCTGGCATTTAGGGTCAGCAGAAAAGAGCTTCCTGCACGCCCTGTACACAAGTTGCTTTGCACACAGTGCAGTGCTGTGTAGACAGCGTGGCGAAAGCCGGAGTGAAGCAGTTTGTGAGTTGGGTGCAGTTTGGGTAAAGCAACGAAGCCACTGGGAAAAAAGGAATAACAAGTTGAAGCCGCTGGAAAAGAGAAACCACCAGGAAGCGATTGGAAAGAGGAACACACGATTGACACAATTGAGGACAGCCCAGGATGAGGAGGAGGACCCGGACCCGGGCAAGAACCAGTTCGTGGCGATCGTGATGCCGCGCGGTCGAACTGAAAGTGTCTCTTCCCCCGGGTGATACGGTGATACCAAAGGAGGGATTGAAAGGACCCCAGTTTCTTTGAGTTTGGTATGCATTTCAGTGCCTACATGTCCATTTCCGGCCATTTGAATGTTCTGGCTGGAGTATGACGAACTCTGGAAGCGGACCGTGGCACCGCTAAAGGATGCGAGGCATCCGAGGCGTCACACAAGTTCGACTTAGTGGCAAGCCCGGATAAATAAACCCCTGTTTATTAATTTGGGGGTGTCCCTGTTTTAGTAGGGGTTTATCACTATTGAAGGAACACCCCCCTAGTAATAAGCTGGGCTTGATTAATTTGGAGGTTAGCATTATGCGACCCGTCCAAGGAAGGTTCTTCCCATCAGTGACCATTACGACCCGCAGGGGCACTTCTTCATTGACATCGAGGTGCAGCGGACGGTCAAAGGGCCATGCTAAGGAACACGTCTACCTTTGCAAATGGATAATTGTCTATGGGCTTCAATGGGAGACATAGATTCTATGTCTCCTAAGTGGGTTATAACTTACTCAGATCGATCCCTCCGAAAAGTCGAAAACTAGTTGGTTAAATATATGGAAACCCAACCACTAACCCAAAACCTCAAAAATCCTAAAGGGACGGCTGGGAACCACCAACAACAGAACAGCTTGGAACAACGTTCAAAAAGGTCAGGCGTCGCCTCCAACTGGCCGGTTTACTTCGGTTTCCTTTGAAAGCTGCCCCTTTTGGGGGGGGGGGGGGTGATTTATCTCAAAAAGGGGCTGTGGGGAGCGTCCATCCGCAACACTGGAAAATGACCCTTATAACTTATATAAGCAGGACCTTTGTGTGTTACTTCGCCAGGCTTACGAACAACTTTGTTGACGTACCCTGCATCGATAGCCCCTTTAAGCAGCTCCTTGAGACCAACCCCCGCATCCGACTCAAATCCGCTCACCTACCTGAGCCGAAAAAGAAAACCCGTTGTATGTGTCAATGTAAGGCATGGTCCCAGTTGTTTTGGACGTATCAAATCAAGAAATCAAGGAGTGTGTTGCAGGAGCGGCCGCGCAAGTCAAACATGGGGCTGCGCAAGTAAAGCGCAAGTGAAGCGCAAGTGACGCAGTGATGATTCATCATCGTCATCATCATCATCACCATCACCATCATCATCATCTCCATGGCCTCCATGGCCCAAACATTAACACGTTTGCGCGCAAGTCCCGCAGTCCGCAGATGCCCCCAAACTGCTTGGAGCAGGAGTGGCCCACTTCTGTATTTTGCATGTTCTTTCTTCTGCAGATCCGAGCAATTTTGCCGAGTGAATTTGTTAGCAGAAAATTTGCAGCGGTGCATACACATGAGACCTCCTACACTTAAAGGGGCATGCTGTTGGGGGACCTCGTGCTTATGAAGACCGCCGCTTGGATTTGCAATGAAAGCAACTTGGGATAAGATATTAAATCCTGCATGGATCGCCCCTTCAGGTAGCTTCTTTAGACAGACCAACCCCCCCTTCCAACGCAACATCCGCTCGAGGAGCATCATTTACCGCAAGTGGACGCCAGAGATCGCGCCGCCTCCATGGAAGGCGGTGAGAGCCGAGGGTTTTGGGGGTGAGAAGACTTGAAGGAACCGTGGTGGCTGTCTCCTGTTTGGTTTTAAACACCCTTAAAAGGGTGTTTTTTTCTTTTCCTTCCCCCCGTAAAAGGGTGGTGTCCCTTAAAAGGGTGGTTGTCCCTTTTCGTTCCCCCCCTCAAAACAAACGAAAAAGAGGGTTCCCCCCCAAAAAAAAAGAGACACACTGTGGTTGTGTGTCAAAATCGGGGGACTGCCAAGATGGCAAACAAACTGTTTGGCTACCTTTTCTGAGCAATCCACTCAGGAAGGCTGAAGGCATGTGGCTGCGTGTCAAGATACTGGCTACTGAAATGGTAGTTGCACGTTGGTTGGGTGGGTTCCTGATCATTTGGAACCAGCGTTGGTTTGTTTTTCCATGCAAGAGGGCATCCCCAGACCTTTCGTACAGACCTATTTCAGCGGAAGTTCTGGGGGGGGGGGGGTGATTCTTGGTATTAGTCTTGGGATTTGTAGGTTCATTGCTTGCTGGTTGAGCCGCCTTTGTTGGTTGGCTGGGGGGAGGGGGCCCCCGGGGGGGGGGGGTCCAGTGGCTTGTGAGGTGCGAGAGGTAAGCGATCAGTCCCCATAAACTGAGCCCGGGCTTCCCCTGACACGAGATTCATGCTGCAAGTGGCTGTTTTTGTTTTTGTTGAGTTTCGGGAGGTAGTTGCATGACCCCTTAGCGTGGTACGCGTCCACTTTCGCAGGGAATATGAAGTTCATCTTCCCCACTGGGCACATGTTGGTTGACTCACTAACTCACCCAGCCATATCGTCTACGTCCTCTGAGTGCATTGCGGCGGGGGGTTCCCTAAATGAAGTTCCCTTGAGTGACCTAAGTCAAAAGCCACTCAAAAGGGGTGAACTCCACTTTGAGGGGCAGAGCAGATAGCTATCACCCAGAGTGTTGACCTACAGTAAGCCCTGTTGTTGTGTGTTGCATCCTCCCAAAAGGGAAGTCATTTTTGGCTCCGGGGCGATCGAGTCGGTACGTCAGGTAAGTGGTTAGTAAGCCTGGTTATGACCCACAAAAGCCCTTCTTTTTTCATAACCGTTCACTGGGTACTTTCACCAGGCTTACTCACCACTAAGTGCCCTGCCCCCTTGTTGAGTTGATTTTAAAGGAACCCACCCTGAAAAAAAAATCTGAAACAAGGAAGCAACCAGGCTTACCAAGCTTACGATCACCACTCACCTGACGTAACGAATCGAAGCGATCGCATCGATCGCCCCATCCGGAGGCCTGCTGAGTACTTTGTCCGTGGACTCGGAGTCTGTACTTCCGCGCCTTGCCGGCGAAGTCCACCGCTTGGATTTTTTTCCGGTTGACACGACGTTAACGCCAACTCAGGTTATCCCAGTTGCCGGTGCCCTTTTTCCCCTTTTTTTGGGAAGGGTTTCCCTTTAAAGTCAAGCCCAAAAAAAAAGAAGTGTTTTTTCCTATGGCTACCGGGAACTGAGTTACCTTTCAGAATCTACATGGATTTAGTTTAGGATCTGGGGCATTTTGTTTTGGGAGTGTACCTTGTATCAGGCCACCCTGAACTTGCGGTTTGGAACGGTGGTTTGAGGATGTGAACCTTTGGTGTTTGTAGAGGGTACATGGGAAACGTCCTTAACCACGAAACCACCAATTCAGCTTCCACCAATTGGAGGGAAGCTGAAACCTTTCACCTTGTTTGAAATGCGTCCCCCACTAGCAAACACTTATTTGCTCCGGCTATTTGGGAATGTGGCTTGCTTGATGGCACCATTTTGCGGGATGTGTCAAAAAGCACGACCGATTTCTTGAATGCCGCTTTCAGCTTTGACCTGGAGCGGGGAAACAAATATATACCTTTCTTTATGGCTGTTTGGTTGGATCTTTGGACTTGGTTTTTGGGAAACAGTGGATTGTCCATTCGACCCACGACAAGTTGAGCACTTTTTGCTGGAGGGTCGTTACAGCAGCCAGGTGGCGAAGGGTTCCACCATGAGCCCCAGCTGACATGTGCCCTTATACAAGTTCATGTGCCGCATATTCCAGTTGGGAATTCGTAGTGAAAAGGGAAGTTAGGAATGGGGCACGCTTTCAAGGGCATGCACAGCTATTTAGCTTTGAGTGAAATGAAGCCATCGAACATATAGTGCCAGTGAATAGTTCGGGTCATTCGGTCATTCCGAATTGCGTCAATCTTCCTTGAAAGCATTTCTGCCAACCACAAGGCTTGTGGAAAACAACATATTTAGTTTTGTTCCTCGCCGGCACTTGGTCTTTTGGATTGGGTGTTCGGGGATTCTCGGTATGCGTGTTCTTTTTTTGTGCTGGGACAATTACCCAAAAAGGTGATGTTGCTTTTGGGTTCCCTTTGGAGCCACAAAGAAACTGTGCCCTGAAAAACAACTCGGCACTTTTTGGGGGGGTGACCCAACATTGTGATTTTGCCTTTGGGTTCCCCTTAAAAAACCACCAAAATAAGCAAAAACGGGGGTGACCAAAAATTGCAATGTTGCTTTTGGGTTCCCCTCAAAAGGATCCCCTCCCAAAAAAAACGGCGATTTTGCTTTTGGGTTCGCCTTAAAGACCGCCAAAAGACAAACAAACACAGGGCATAGCCTCCAAAAAACTCAGTTGTTCAGTGACCCTGGAGGAAGAAAAAAAGGAACCCTTTTTTGGGAAGACCATTTTAGTGGGGCAGCCACCCCAAAAAAAAGGAAAGTAATTGGAGCCACTCAGCTGAGAAAAGCGGATCCCCCGCTTCGGGAGACCTTTTTCCTCGGAGCGACTCGGAGGCGCCTGGAGTCCTTCGAGGGCAGCAGCCTGCTGAACCCCCGGGCCGCGCAAGCGCAGAGCAACCTGGACACGCCCCGCACGGACCTCCGCGCGCCCAAGCGCGGCTCGGAGCTGAGTCAGAAAAACACGTGGCCTGGATATGGGGAACCATTCAATTTTTTGCTTGGGGTGGAGGGTTTGCAATGGCCAAATCAAGAGGGACGGGAAAAGCAAAAGCAAATTCGTGGCCTGGATGTGGCTATGGGTCATCATGGGTCATAACCTTTGCCTCGTTTTTTGGGGCAGATGAACACCCATGTGCCACCTATTTTGTTCACCAGGGGTTTGACCCACAGCCATACGGGGAACCATTAAGGCTTGCAGTGGCCAGACAGATCACAGGAGTATGTGGGTGCCATTTTTTGGGGAGTTTTGGTTGGGGTTTAGGGTTTGCAATGGCCAGACAAATCGCAGGAAGGGGGATGTGGGTGCCTTGTTTTGGGGGAACCCCCCCGTTTGGTTGGTGTTAAAGGGAGACCCAAAGGGGCACCGCAGCCATTTTGGGGCGAAGAGGTAAACAACAACGACACCATCATGTCTCAAGGGAAAATCTGGTTTCACTTGCCGCAAGAGAACAACCCCAAAAAACCCAAAAAGGGGCCCGGCGACCCCGTCAGAGGGTCCGTGTCAGTCATGCAGCCAAAATTGGACACGGCCCATCCTTTGTCCAACTGTGGTATAAAGATCACCTTTTGGCATACGGCGATATCTGGAAAAAACCGAAGCCCTTGTTTTTCTTGTACTCGAACCAGCAGGTTTAGGAAAGGTGCAAGGCCGATGGAAGGTGGGCTGAGGGTGGGTTTATTGGTTGGTTCTTTGGTGGTTTGCATGCTTGCGGCCGATCCGTAAACTGTTTCACTTGCTTGCATGCAAGCAAAAAGTAAATCTGCACCCTCCAAGATTGGATATTCGCGCTTGTTTAATTTGATCCAGCAACATGGGAGCCAGGAGCAGCAGTGCAGGTGGAGATGGGGGGCGGGCGTTTATCCCTCAACTTTCGACGTTTGTCCACCTGAAACAAACCGATTAGTCCGTGCCGCCAATTCCCCGCTTTCCATCACCGGGAAGAAGCTTCATGGGGCAAACAAAATGATTGGACATATATAGCTTACAGCAGCTTCTCAGGCTGCGCTTGGATGTGGTTCGCTCACTTGCTCACGTAGGATTCGTCATATTATGGATACGGCAAAGCTGAGGGCAGAAAGCCACGCTGCTGCTGCTGGTGGTTATTGCCCTCTGGGCGGTGGATTTGGTCTTCGCACTGGACTCTGTCGCATCGAAGCTGGCTTCGGTGAACGACATCTTCCTGACCCTTGGAACTTGGGGTTACTGAGTTGTTTTTTTTGAAAAAGCAAGTTTCGGTTACTGCGCCCTTTTGTTTGGTCTCCAATGAGATGCATATCCAAAGTTCCCAAGGCGATTTTTTTTAGTTTTCAAGAAGGGGTGTTTCAAGGGGAGTTTGTGAAGAACCCTTTGTTTCATCTTCAGAACTGCATTTTTTCCTGGTGAGTAGGGATGGTTTCGAGTGTGGAGATTTTAGGGCTCCTTGCGTGGAAACCTCTCCTGGTCAGGAGTTTTGATGGCACGTTAACTGCGGGGGTGCCAGCAAGTTTCGAGGTTTGGGTAGGTTTAGGTGCCTTTGGCTTCGTGTTGTTGGTCGATGTTATTCTGTCATTGAACATTTGTCGATGTTCTTGTTGGCCTCGTGCTTTTCGTTCTGACGTCATTCCTTTCTTGGAACGAATGATGTCTTTCGCATGTTTTGCTTGGAATCAGCCATTGGAAGGGGCCCCTAGCCCAGTTTTAATCCGAGCGTTGGCCCATGAACGGATTGCCATCTTGGTCCTAGTCCTGGAATTCATACCTAAGGCCAGTATCCAGGTTAATGTTGACTACATATTCATCAACCCCCGTTAATAAGAATAGGGGGTGTTTCTGAGCTTAGTGGGGAATCAGACTACTTTTGGAGGGGAACGCCCCCTATCAATCAATTGGGGTTGATTGGTATAGGATCAACATGACCCCCAATTGGCAGTTTGGATTGGCGGTGTGGGGATTTGAGGGTGTCTTCTTTTTCGGGTATCCTACAAAATGGTGGTGTTCCTGTTGATATCCTTTTAAGCCAAAAAGGATACCCTCAAAAAGTGACACGCCCATTTGAACCGCTTGTACTTGTCAATGGCAAATGGGAAGCCTCCCACCCATCCAAACCACCAGCGACCACCAGGAGGGAAGCTGAACTGTAGTGGCGCAGGTTTGTTTGTGTTAGTCTTGCGGCGACCATCGCCGCAAACATTTCCATTAACATCATCTCCGCCTGTGAAGTAACGTACGGAAGATGGGGGCTTCCGCCCGGAAAGAGACCCTTCCAAAAACATGTTCCCCGTGGTAATTGGGAAACAAGGGAGGGGGCCCCACGTTTTTTTCCTAGACTTTCCTCAAGAATGGCTAGTTGACATAAATCTCAACGCAAATAAAGTTCACCAAGGGTTTCTTTAACTCAAAACTAGTTTCCACAGATCCACCCAAAACGGCCAGGAACGTGTCATCTTCCGCATTTGCGATGATGGGCTTCTTCACTATCCTTGGCATGACTTTTGTGTTTATTTATGGTTGTGTTGTGCTTTTTTGGTCCTATTCATTTGTAGCAGCTTGCTAACACACCAATACACCAATAGGAAGTTTCTTAGGTCATGTTTGCTCCTGTCTGGCGTTAAGAGGCGTTTTTGTTTGGAACCCACTTGCATTTGTTTGGCTACTGAAAGTCCTTAGCCGGGGAAAGGTTTGAGATCCTTGTACTTTGTCATGGAGAGTTTAGTGCAAACCTTCCACATGCTCAAGTACGGCATTTCTGCAGTGCTGGTGCTGATCGGCCTGAAGATGTTCTTTTCCGTGCCTTGGCTGGTGGGGTTTGTACACAATAAAATGTTTCAAGTGCCCGCCTAAGTGGTAGATGAAAGGGCAGCAGCTCCAGTTTCTGTCTTTTAACCCTTCAAACTGTCAAATTCATGGCGCCCGGGTCTTTACAAGGGAAACCCCTAACCCCATTCCATGTCCGTTTCTACTTACTTTATGTTGTTTTATGATTTCGTGGTTTTAATCATTCATTGATGACAGAACGACGTCTAGAGATGACATACATTTACTGTATTTCCAAGAGATTCCCCTCTCCCTGACTCCAAATCCTAGGGAACTAAACAAGAATATACAAGAATCAGTGGCTTCTTCCTGCTTCTCCATCCTATCCCTCACTGTCCAAGAAGGGGATGTGAGAGATGGAGATGGATTCCCTTGTGGCACCGGGAGCACTCACTGGGTCCGTCAAAGGTGTACGAGCTTTCGGGATCGAGCTGTTCACGGAATATGGTATGGTTCCACTCAGCAACAAACAGCTAAACTTGCATTGACAATTCTGGACGCACGCCAAAGGGGTTTGGAAGACTACTTTCAACTTCAACACGCCTCCTGTCCACGTCCATGATTGTTGGAGGGTGAACTTTTCGGCACCTGGGGCATTTGCCAGGTTTGGTTCGAGATCTCTAATAGCGTCACCTTCGTCCTCATGCTCTTGATCTGCATCTGGGCGGAAAATGCGTTGGCCATGGGTTGAAGGGTTTTGCTGCCAGTTTGGCTTTTCCAAGAGCTATTCTTTCCTAGCTAGACGGCCCGTAGTGCTCAATTGTTCCAAGAGAAAGCAAAAAGGGGACGGGGCAACGTGATTTGTTTCAATTTGTCCAGACCTCTTATTTGGCACCCAGTTTCAGAATTTCACAGTTATGAGTCAGGAGGGTCCCTTTATTAAAGACACTAATCTTCCACAGTCACAAGAAAGTGATCATTCGGCGGCTGTACGCAACCAGAGACGCTCAATCACGACCCTGGATGAATGCCTCCAGCACGCTCCTGGAAATAGTGTTGTCCCCAGAAGGTGAAGGATGTCCCCCTGTAAAATGCGCAGCACGGCTGTGGGTAAAAACCAATGGGATCCCATTTTGGGGTAGGTGCACCACCCATTTTAGTCTATTTTAGTGGGGGGTGGGATGTTTGTTGGGGGTACGATTTAGGATTTTGACCCATGGCCATATGAACTCCTTGGTCTCCATCGAAACAAGAGTGGTTGTTTCGCCTTGTGGGTGCGTGCGGCATGTGACAGATCCCAGCCCAAACCTGCTGCGAGCTTTTGCCACCCCTTGTATTCTTAGCATTCATTTGCTTAAGAACAGGGTTGTGGGATCAAGGGGTTTTACCCCACTTCTGTGATACAAGGGAATCCCCTCTTTGAATGGCGACGTAGTCTTTGGGGGACCTTTTTCTTGTATCACAGAAGTGGTCATTCCCCACAGCCCTGCTTAAGAATATTTGTCATTTTCCCCTGTTGGTGTTTAGAGGGAATCTCTGGACATATTTTTCCAGGGGGCTTAAGCAAATGGAAGTTAGGGCATTTTCCGTGGTCTTTGGTTTTGACGGAACCCTCATCAGCCGCAATGCTCCCTTACCTCGGCATCAGCAGTTCGGCGCTCGAATTAGTTTGAAAGAGATGAGTTCGTTACTTTGCTTCTGGGCAAACAGGCTTAATTTAAGGGCTGCCGCCCAGTGCCACCAACCCCAGGGTTCGCGGGCCACAAACAAGGCGAGGGCCAGCTATTTTAAAAAGGCTGTGTACATTTTGCACGACTTTGCATGATTCTGCATGTGTTTGCTTGGTTTTGCTTGATTAGGAACCATATGTCACGGGATGTTTTTGAGAATGCATTTCGCCCCCCAAACCGATTCAGTGTCCCCCTGATTTCACTCCCTCTTGCAACCTGTTTCTCGAGGACACACAGGTGAGAACAATGAGCTGCTGGAGCATCGGGGGTTTTCCACACCCCCTCTTGCACCCCTCTTGCATCCTGTTTTTTGCTTGACTTCGCATGTTTTTGCATGATTTCGCCTGCTTCTGCATAACTTTTGCATGATTTTGAACAAACGGCAACCCGGTTGAAATCGCTCAGGTCTTCCCACGGCATCGGAGCACTTTCAACAAGCTTTCCCCGCGCATTTTGAGGCGAGATTCTGCGGCCTGAGCGCGTATCTCGCACAGTCAAGGCAAGAGGCACACAGCGCGATTCTGAAGCGACGCCTACTGCAAGGGCATCGTGCTATGACAGGTGGAGTGTTGCAACTTGCGAGCCAATCATGTGGAGGACGCGTTCGTAGCAAGCGAGCGCTTCAGCACAACGATATACAACGATCTTTGTGAGTTTCCCTGGCAGGGAGTTTCTACATGTGGTGCAGCGGGCATGCGGCGGCCTTGGCGACGAAGCGACACTGTCAGGAACCCGTGCCACTGCGCGTGGACGGCGTCACAGATACCTGCGCGATTTGGACATCGCACAAGCCTACGGACTGCGACTACACAGCCGTGATCTGTGGCACGCATCCCCGTACGAATTTGTCATGGGCTGGGAGAGGGTTGCCACGCGCGTGCCGTACACCTGGCAAGCTTGGCAAACGCTTCCAGCAGATGCCTGGGATGTCGACCTCACCGCGTCCGGCGTCAAGAAACTGGAAAACGCTGGCAAAGCGATACACTTGAAGCCAGGCGCAGACTACACGAACAGATTCAAGGCGCAGCTAAACTGCGAGTACTTCACAAACATGGCCGCTAAGGCAGCCTTGCAGCACGCAGGGTATTTCAAATGTCGGCGTCGCCCGCAGTGCCCGCGATTCGATGCCGCACCTCGTCCGCGACACGGGCCAGACAGCGTAGAATACACGCAGCGCTGTGCCAAGCATATTTTCGTCCCTGGAAACTGCACACGCGCTGGAGCACACCACAAGTTCTACTCGCAATCAGCTTGAAGAGCATGAGCGAGTCGTGGGAGGAAGCCTTGCGGCGGTGGCTCCGCGGCACCAACTGCGAGGAAACTATGCGCCACATAGGCAACTTTCTATCTGTGCACCGTGTCCGCCCCAGCGAGGAAGCAGCAGCCAACAGCGACGACGATGATGCCGACACCGCGCTGGATCTGAGCGTAGAAGGTTTTCGCCAAGCACTGGAGCCACCCGCACAACAGAGCGCCGCCGGCGCAAAACGCAAGCTGACGTCGGAAGAGCTCACCAGTGCCGCGTGCGAGCGAGCAAGCGCAACGTGGGCTAGTTCCGAAGACACGCAAACAGACAGCAGCAACCCCTTCTCACACAGCGACGCAAAGCAGATACTGAAGACCGCGCGACAGAAGCACCCAAAACTCGCTGGCCATGTCGCGACCGATGAGCCCAGCGCAGCGCCAAACGTGAACGTTGTGCCAGCCAGCAATCGCACGGAGAAGGTGAGGGCTTGGCTTGCGGAAGTTGCGCAACGACAAGCGCCGTCCGGCAAGGCGCTCCTGAACCCGGAGCAGCTGGAGTTCGTTCGCAGAGTTGCTGCGCGAGTAGTCGAAGAAGAAAGTACAGGTGAAGCCGAAAATCTAAACAGAAGGGCGCTAACCGAGCCGCTGCGGCGGGCTCCCCGGGCGGGGAAGTCGCATGTGCTGAGATTAATTCGCACAGAGTTGTTCGACGGCATCCTGCAGTGGCAACAAGGGATACAATACAAGGTAGTTGCTTTGCAGGCAGTCATAGCAGAGCAGCTGGAAGGCGACACGATCCATCATGCTGTGGGCCTGAATAAACGCGGAGAAGAAACGAGCACCGGCTTCAAACGTCTAGCCGAACGCGGCGGCAACCCAGTGGCGGTGGCTACTACTGCACGAGTTGAGCATGGTGAGCGCCGAACTCCTCGCCCGCCTGGAACTCCGCTGTCGGGCTTTGGGGGGCTCAACGTAATTCTTGCGGGAGACTTCTGGCAGCTGGCGCCACCACGAGGGACCTTCTTGGGGGCAGTTCCAGCGCAAGTGCTGCGCAGCCACGGAGTGAACACAAAGTTACCCCACGCGCACTACGGACAGCAGCTGATCTGGGGCGGGCCGAAGAATGGCAGCCAAGGAGTCACGGAGCTTGTCGCCTGCGAGCGCGCGCAAGACGAGTGGCTGCGCCAGGTACAGGAAGAGTTCCGCCACGGGACTCTATCAGCGTCCACGCGCGCCTTTTTGCATGGACGCCCAACAGACGTGCCCGGCAGCTGGCAGGGAGCACGCAGCTTGTGGCGAAGAAAGCTGCGCCAGGCTGCAAGAGGAACGCGCAGACCCTGAGCGCATTCTGCGCGAAGAATGCTGGAAGTGTCAAGAGGAACGGCGCTCAAAGGCACTAGTTGCTATGACAGAGGACGATGCTCGCTTCCGAGAGGACTTCAACCAGTCGACGTGCATTTTCGCCACCAACACTGTGAAATACCACGTGAACCGCAAACGCGCGCGCAAATTCCAGGCGGAAGCGCGACAACGGCTCTACTAAGCTATGGCGGAAGATCGCGCCTCGACCAAAGTTCTAGCAGAAAAGCCCCATCTGGACGAAGAGAAGGTGAAATGGCTGCAGCGCCACGACCGCGAAGCCGGAGACCTCTACGGCACATTGCCGCTGCGCGTTGGCATGCCAGTTGCCGCCACAGACGATTTGGATCGAGAAAGGGGCGTACTGCGTGGATGTCTGCGGCTGGACGCACGAAATCCGTGACGTCGAGCCCAGCAAAGCGGACGGAGAAGTCCGCTTCTGGCCGAAACTACCCTAGAGATCGAAAATAGATTTTTAGATTCCCAGGCAGGAATCCCTGCATATAATATACGCATGCACAGTATCCAAAAAAATAGATTTTCAGAATATCTATTAGAAATAGATTCCCACAACCAAACATGTAAAAAAATGGATTCCGTATCTATTTTGGCACCGTATCTTTAAAAACGTCTCGTATTCAAAAAACCGCATCTATTTGCGTATCTATTTGTATCTATCCGTATCTATTTTCAGCACCGCGTATCTAAACTGCTTCAGAATGTGAGGAGTTGATCTTGCCTTCCAGGAAATGGTTGCTGAAGGATGTATTTGCAGGCTGCGGCAGCACTGTTCGAAATCGCGGCAGCTTTGACAAGCTGTGGCCATTGCAGCTGTGACAGAGTTGGTCTGGCCATGATGACACAACAAATTCTGATAAGGCTTCCCGGAAGTGGCTCAACCCAAGAAGCAGTCACAGACCCGAACACACTAGCAAGTCAACATCCCCGCCCTCATTTTGAACTACATCTATTTGTCTATTTACAGCGTCAAAGTTTCTGCAAAGAAAGAAGAACCCCCAGCTCCCAAGCGTGCGCTTCTGTTTCGGCAATCACGCATCGCGCTCCAGCACACCTAACCAAAGAAGCCGAAGCATGACTTGCAGATGCATTGAGCGTCCTTTAGACACAACTGACCACAAGCCCTTTACTTGCTTGTTTTTTGCCTCGTCGGAGTACACCCAAAAAGTGCGAGGCACTCCGGATCGCAGAACTTGCTGCGGAAAGTGCTGAAAATACTGAATCTTAGGATATGCCGCAAACTGACAGCTTGCGTAGTGAAACATGTGAACTCTGGCCAACGCCTCCACTCAGACACTTCGGCTTCAGTGAGGACGTCTTGCCGGGCCCGCAAACAGATGCGGCTCAGCGCCTGCATGCATTGG